CAGTGACGATATTATAATAGGGGCACCCTAAACCCTAAACCCTAAACCCTAAACCCTAAACCCTAAACCCTAAACCCTAAACCCTAAACCCTAAACCCTAAACCTCTTTGGTCGGTGACTTCATAAAGGGAACCTTGAACCCAAAATGGGGTAAAGGGTACGACCGGGCTACCAAGCTCTCCACCTGGCAGCTAGGTAATCAAGCCCCAGTCTCATATACACCGCATACCCGGGTTTAGGGTTTAGGGTTTAGGGTTTAGGGTTTAGGGTTTAGGGTTTAGGGTTTAGGGTCACCCTAAACCTTGGGATGTTCCCCCTTATACTAACAGTCCTGGATAGGGATCCTGGTGCCCCCGATGATGATACCTACTAAGGACTGTTAGCATAAAGGGGAACATCCCATCCTAAACCCTAAACCCTAAACTGCCCAAACCCTAAACCCTAAACCCTAAACTCCCTGAACCCCTAAACCCTAAATTCTAAACTCTAAACCCTAAACCCTAAACAAAACCCTAAACCCTAAACCCCAAACCGAAATGGATTCAGGGCGTCCCTGGCCTGGCACTGCATATGCTCCGCGTGTCGCTCACGCGGAGAGCTCATGGTCCATGCAGATATCCGGCCGCTCCTGTTTGGAGCTTTAGGGGTTTAGGGTTTTGATTGTGGGGTTTAGGGTTTAGGGTTTAGGGGTAGGGGTTAGGGTTTAGGGTTTAGGGTCTGGTGTTTGGGGTTTGGGGTTTGGGGTTTGAGGTTTGGGGTTTGGGGTTTGGGGTTTAGGGTTTATGGTTTAAGTCTGATACTTTAACCTACTAGAGGACTTAAGGGGCCTTTACAAGTGCAGTTATGATTGTGGGTTACAAGTACCCTGACCCTCGGAAGGATTATGATTCTAGGGATTCCATGATGGAGGGTTTAAGGATTCAGGGTTTAGGGCTTCGGGTCGTGTATGTTTATGTATATAAATATAAGAAACACAGATATATATATATATATATATATGGTATCACCGCCTGATGTGGGGAGCATTGGTGCCGATTCTTTGAAGAAACGCATAATCCTCAACCCTAAGTCCTAAACCCTAAACCCTAAACCCCAAACCCTAAACCCTAAACCCCAAACCCTAAACCCTAAACGCTAGACACACAAAGTCAAACACCTTTGGTGCTTTCGAACTTGGAGACCAAGGGGAATCTGGGGGGGGGGGGGGGGGGGGGTTACTCCTGAAGTTCCCCAGAGCCCACCTAAAGCGCTTCCGAAAATGTCCCCGTAAACCCTAAACCCTAAACCCTAAACCCTACACCCTAAACCCTAAACCCTAAACCCCAGCTTTCCATCCTAAGCCCCGCGCCAACTTCAGTCCGTACTTCTCCATCGCTCCCGTGACCACGTCAGGCGAAATCTTCTGCTGCCTGCTCCAGCAGGGGTTTAGGGTTTAGGGTTTATAGGGTATAGCGTATAGGGTATACGGTTTAGGGTTTAGGGTTTAGGGGCTCAATAGAAGGACCCCAACTTTGTCCGGCAAAGGCCTATACATTCAAGGGCCCCAGTACATGTTCAACCTTTTTCGGGAATACAGGGGGAAGGGAAAGGGACAGGTGGGGTCTGCAAATAAACTCAGTTCTCTGCTTGGGAACTGAAATCAAGCTAACAGAAGGAGAAAACCCTAAGCCCCTAAACCCCAAAACCACAAACCACTTGTCAGCACCCACTTGACTGGTCTAGCAGCGTTTGATATCGTTTTTGTCTTGGGAGGGGGGGGGGGGGGGGGTGCGCAGGCTTCGGACGGGATGGCCCTTAAATTAAAAGCCTCTGAGAAAGAAATCCTAAATCCTACAACCCTAAACCCTAAAACCCTAAACCCAAAACGTGAAACACAATAAGGGACAGCAAAAAAGAAGGGCCTACGTAGTAACCTTGGGATGTTCCACCTTATACGAACAGTCCTCAATGGGTATTACAATAGGAGCTTCTACAATCCCTATTCCCCATTAAGGACTGTTCGTATAAGGGGGAACATCCCAACGTTTATATAAAGGTTTATGGGGTTCATCGAGTTTAGAGGACTGCGGCATTGCACGGTGCAAGGCAGCAGTAAACCTTTCACAGCCCGCCATCCCTCCCGTGCAGCTTTTTCTGCGCACCATGTGCGTGTCTCGGATACCGTTGTCACTTTCAGGGTCCATATGGAGATTGCTTGGGGTTTAGGGTTTAGGATTTAGGGTTTAGGGTTTAGGGATTTAGGGTTTAGGGTTTTAGGAGTTAGGGGATTTAGGGTAGAAGGGTTTAGGGTAGAAGGTTTCAGGGTTTAGGGTGTAAGGTTTGGGGTTCAGGGTTTAGGGTTCAAAGTTTAATCTGAAGAGTTGCAGATTGAAGGGTTTGGCGATTGGGGTATTTGGGGTTTAGAGACGCATGCTGGCAAGGGCCCTCAGGCTCGCCGAGGGTCATCGTCCTGCTGCCCGCCCAGGATGTTAGGATCTTAGAGCCCGATGATGGTTTGGGTTCGGGTTGAGGGTTCAGGGGGTATAGGGATTAGGGTTCGGGGTCCAAATTGAACCATCTAGAGCAGCGCTGAAAGTGCGTAGGCCCTTTCGGCTGAGGGTCAAGGCTTCTGTGACGTTTAGGTTTAGGGCATGCGCTTAATAAAAGAGGGAAGGGATTACGAGTCCTAACCCCTTGATACACCAACAAAACGATGCCGGCCAAATAGTAGCTTGGGTTATGAGACAACTTGGCCTGAACTTACCCTAAATCCTGAAACCCTAACACCCTAAAAGCAAAGCCCAAACCGCGTGGAACAAGTCTTCTGGGGATCTTGGCCTAAAACGAAACCCCGGAAGCCTTAAGCAGCCCTGTGAGAGACAAGACGCCTCGTGACCCGTCTGTGCAGGTTCGGGAGGCTCGCCTTGAACCCAAAACCCAAACCCCCAAAGCCCCAAAGCCCCAAAACCCCCCCAAAGCCCCAAAGCCCCAAACCCCCAAACCCCTAAACCAAATCCGTCCGGGAGCTGGCCGCGACAGTGAGGTTCTTGGCGGAGCAACCGCCTTCCACGGAGGGCGGAGTCTGCTAAGGAGGGCCCCCTTGCCATAGTAAGGGTTTAGGGTTTAGGGTTTAGGGTTTAGGGTTTAGGGTTTAGGGTTTAGGGTTTAGGGTTTAGGGTTTAGGGTTTAGGGTTTAGGGTTAGGTTGTTTGAGGTTTCGGGTATATAACTTATCACTGTAGCTGGTCAACTTTCGACCAGGGTGATAGTACTCTAAAGGCTGAACCCCAAACCCCATTTGGGCCCTTCATGCCTCCACTTATGACCTGTAGAGCCCGCAACCTACGAGTTCTTCATAAGGAATTGGGAACTCGGGCTTGACAATTCGCACCTGATTATGTCTATCAGAGTCTATCAGCACGAGCATCCACAACGGGGCCATCGCAATCAGCGCCCAAGACCTTAAGACCTGTGCCTTACGGATCCCTCGGAAGTATTTGAGGAGTACCCGCAAAGCACTGAAAAAACGTTCCTTGCCCCCTTTTTTTCCCTGGAAGATGGCAACCCGACTCGGCCGTCGCTGTCAAACTGAATTCTGGCTTGGGACGGGATCTCGACGGGGGGCTCCCCTGCAGAACAGAGGCCCCCGAAATCAGGGACCATGAAGGGATCTGTGAAGGACACAAACCCTAGAGGGTGGGGCCCCCTTACTATACTAACTGTAGTTAAGGGACTTATAACCTAACTTAGGGTCCTTATAACCCAATTTAGGGCCCTTATAACTCTACTTATAACTAGGGGGCCCCACCCTGTAGACCCTGAACCCTATGAAGGCTTTTGTTTGGCCCTTGTCATCTGGGCTCCCTTTTGAGGGTTGAGGGTTGGGGGCCGGCGGCGGGGGGGGCGTCGCCCATGGATTCCCACGAGTGTCCCGTCTCCCAGAACTTCTGCTGGCTATTTTCTGTGAAAGACTGCCGCCTAACCGGCCTAACCTGAACCCTAAAATCCCAAAACCCTACCCAAAGGCTGCTATGTGGTAGGTTTTGAGTCTATAGCGGCTTCTCCCATGTTCCCGAAAGGCGCATCAAACACAGGAGCGAACGCAACAAAAACCGTACCGATGACTGGCGGGAATTTGACCGGAAGAACCAGAGGATTCTTGGGGCTTAGTTTAGGGTTTAGGGTTTAGGGTTTAGGGTTTAGGGTTTAGGGTTTAGGGTTTAGGGTTTAGGGTTTAGGGCTAGTGCTTTCAGTCTCACTCCCACCAGCGCTGTCAACAGCGAAAATGCATGCTGCCATAATCATACAGTCTGTCCAGTCTCCAAGAACTCTGGAATGACCTATACCCTAAACCCTAACCCTAAAACCTAAACCCTAAAACCTAAACCCTAAGCCCTAAACCCTAAACCCTAAACCCAACTCTATCCGAAGTCGCTGCACCACTCAGACTCAGAGACAAGACAAACAAACACAAGGCAACGAATTCCAGACCTGCGACTGGGGTCTGCGGACAACCCGGCCGGAAGAACTGGCGACACACGCGAACTGTCTATAATGAAGTGGGGTTTAGGGTTTAGGGTTTAGGGTTTAGGGTCTAGGGTTTAGGGTTTAGTTTTTTTTTTTTTTTGTTGGGGGGGGGGTTACGCAATTAGGGGCACCTCATTGGGGTCCTGATTAGAAGGGGATCCCTTTATTTAGGGGTCTTTATTGGGGTCCCTTATTTTCCTAAACCCCCAAGTGCCATAATTCGCCGTAGAGTCACTCGCTCTACTGGCTCGGCTGCTAAAAAATTCTGAGCCCTTGAGATTTACGGGTCGCTCCACTGCAGAATATTGCAAACGTGCTTGCACTAAATGAGGGCCAAGACTAGGTTAGATCGAGGGTTTAGGTTTTAGGCGTTTTAGGGTTTGTTGCTCTGTGTTGCTCTCGGGTGTCGCAAGCTGCAGGCACAGTGATCACAGTGATCACGCCGTCATGCACAGTACATCCTACTTGCTCGGACCACTTTCCAAACCGAAACCCTCAACCTTCAACCTTCTCGCAATCCCCACCCTCATGTTCGGCGGCATCCCGCGGGAAGAAATTGGGCTTGAAATGACAGTCACGAACCTTAGTCCAGCCCTTTTCATGCTCGAACTCGGACCGATGCACCTGATAGCCCTGCTTTGTGGCCGGAACGACCTCTGCAATCTTGCTCGAGTCGTACAGGCTCAGCTTTCGATTGTGGAAGGCCAGAGCGAACTCCTCTGCCACCTGACTGGAATGGAAGTTGATGAAGGCATAGCCACGATTCAGCTTGCTCTTGAAGTCCTTGGGAAGGTAGAAGACGGTTTAGGGTTTAGGGTTTAGGGTACAGGGTTTAGGGTTTAGGGTTTAGTTGAAGTCCTTGGGAAGGTAGAAGAAGTCGAACTTTCCGGTGAACCCCGCCTCCATAACCTCACTCAGCAGATCCTCATTTCTGTAGCGACAGGGGATGTTGCGGAGCATGACCTTACTTCTCCAATAACCAAGGGGGGAAAAAGGAGGTTAAACTTTAGTATTCCTACTAAGAAAGGAAGCCCAAGAAGTTTAAAGTTCAACTAAAGGTTAGGGTTTAGGGTTTAGGGTTTAGGGTTTAGGGTTTAGGGCTTAGGGCTCAGGGTTTAGGGTTTAGGGTTTAGGGTTAGGCGAAGCAAGTGACAGTGGTCTTACCATCCTGAAACCTTCTGGCCGCCTGCTGCGGGTCCTCTGTCGAGCCCCGTGCCAGATCCTCCGACACTTCCTGGTCCTTGGCAGTTCTCCCCTCCTGCCTGTTGACATTGTCCTTACTTCTCCAATAACCACGGGGAAAAAGGTTAAACATCATTATTCCTACGAAATAAGGAAACCCAACCAAAATTAAAGTCCAGCTGTTGGCTAAGTAAGTGTAAGTGTCTGCAACCAGCCCATGAGTTGGCTGTCCGCACGGCCCAGGTCCCTTGATGGGAGCCGACGAGTCTCCCTAAACCCTAAACCCTAAACCCTAAACCCCAAACCCTAAACCCTAAACCCTAAACCCTAAACCCTAAACCCTAAACCTTAAACCCTAAACCCTAAACCCTAAACCCTAGACCCTAGACCCTAAACCCTAGACCCTAAACCCTAAACCCTAAACCCTGAACCCTGCCTCCCGCGGGGCGTCTGGGGCAAATGGGTTTGTTGGCCCCTGCGCCATCGCCGAAGGTGGCTCAGGGGACTCTGTGATGTCTGGAGTGGAGAATTTGGACACAGCAGTCCTATGCTGCCCTTAGAACCTCAATAAAGAAAATAATATTATTAATGCTATCTTAGGTTTTTATCTAAACAAAAATTTAAAAAAAAAATCACCAACAGGGATATAGAATCGTGGGCTGGCAAGGCTGCCACCAACACCTTAGCAGCGCAGTAACCATATTATACTAAGGGCACCCTTAAGTTCTTTTTGGGTTGGTTACTCTTATAAGGGAAACCAGAACCAAAAAGGGGTTTAGCATTTAGGGTTTAGGGGTTAGGGTTTAGGGTTTAGGGTTTCTTTATAAGGGAAACCAGAACCAAAGAAAGGGTAAAGGGTATCACTGGGCTGCCAAGACACAGGACCGGCGGCTTCGCTCCCATGAGGCATGGCAGGGGTGTCTGCGTCGCGGCCGCAAGGACTTGAAGCTCCGGACTGATCCTAGGGTTTAGGGTTTAGGGTTTAGGGTTTAGGGTTTAGGGTTTAGGGTTTAGGGTTTAGGGTTTAGGGTTTAGGGTTTAGGGTTTAGGGTTTAGGGACCATCTGAAAAAAACATTCCCTATAAGGGAAAATGAAAAATGTTCCAAAGGCCTGCCTAGGATCATTGCACAGCCAGAGAAGGAGAGAGCCAGGCACTTGGGGACTAAATGAAACCCGAGAGCAAACAAGAGCTCTTTGCACCATCTGCGACTATCATCACCCTTCAGGTACCCTAAACCCTAAACCCTAAACCCTAAACCCTAAACCCTAAACCCTAAACCCTAAACCCATATGGACCAGAAGTTCATTTACTCCCCAAGGGAAACTTTCGTGGACCAGTCTTTGACTCGGGCCAAACTCTGATAAGGCTTTGTCTCTGTTCCCCTGCCGGATGCCCCAACGAGACTTATTTAGGGTTTAGGGTTTAGGGTTTAGGGTTTGGGTTTAGGGTTTAGGGTTTAGGGTTTGGGTTTGGGGTTTTAGGGTATGTGGGGCCTGTTTGCATTCTACGTATCTCTAGGTCCAGATCCTAAACCCTGCACCCCAGACGCTGTAATTCAGGGAGGAACTGTCAAACTGCTCAAGTCTACGTGCGACGGGTCGAGTTTGAGGCCAGCTGACGCTCGGGGTAGTGAGGCGGAGCGTTTATGGGTCTGAGTGCTTTTAAGGGTGTAGGGTTTAGGGTTAAGGTATCCGTGCCGCAACGTTCGGGGTTTAGCTATAGGGTCAGGGCTCCAAAGATTTAGGGTAAGCACACCCTAAACCCTAAACCCTAAACCCTAAACCTGTAAGGGAAGAAGGGCCCTTTCCATGGGGAAAGATACCTGGGGAACCTTCTCGGAAGCTTAGGCAGCCGTCGGGAGCAAGGAGGGTTCAGGGTTCAGGGTTCAGGGTTCAGGGTTCAGGGTTTAGGGTTTAGAGTTCAGGGTTTAGGGTTTAGGGTTCAGGGGGGTTTGGTCTAGGGGTTGGGGGGTTTGGGGTGCAGGGTTTGGGGTTTAGGGTCTGGGGTTCTGAGGGCTAGGGCGCCAGGACTTACGATGTGGTTAGGGTTAGGGCTTGGGGTTTAGGATTGAGGGGTTTAGGGTTGTTTAGGGTTGTGTAGAGTTGTTTAGGGCTGTTTAGGGTTTAGGGTTTGGGGCTTCAGGTTTCGGCGGCCCTGAGCCCCAAAACCCAAAGCCCTCCACAAACAGTGCCGGACCTTCTCCCCATCGCCCCCGTCCGCAATGAAAGTGTGGTGCCTCGGTGAGCAAACCCTAAACCCTGAACCCTAAACCCTGGACCCACGAGTGGGACAGGCAACTTTAGGGGTTGGGGCTTAGGGTCTTGGAGTTAGGGCTTAGGGGCCAGACAGCCAGTGTGGAAAAGCCCTTCACTACCAGAGTGGTGAGGGAGGAACCCTTAGTATGGACCTTCCTCTCAAAAACAAACCCTGGTGGGCAAAACAGGGAACTCCGTATAGGGACTTCGCAAATACCGCGGCTAGTAGGATTACATGGGCCTGCTGCCCGTATTCCCTCGGCATACCTGCCCCACTCCTTGCGATTCCGTTTGTGGTATATCTGAACCCCTAAACCTTACTCCCCAAGCCCTGAAAAAGGGGCGGCTACTCTTTTAAATTTAATTGGACTTTCAAGCTTGCATCCGCGGACCAGGGCCCCAAGGAAGAGCTATTGGCCTATTGAGCAATAAGGTATGCCCCAAACCGCACTGAGAGGTTTAGGGTTTAGGGTTTAGGGTTTAGGGTTTAGGGTTTAGGGTTTAGGGTTTAGGGTTTAGGGTTTAGGGTTTAGGGTCTGCCCCAGGAGTACGCCATTGCTCGTCCCGGCTGCAGCGCATCCTCGGCGGTGATCCGCTCGTTCGGATCCAGCCTTTCACAGCAGTGGGACCCCATACACCTAAACCCTAAACCCTAAACGAGATGGAGTCCCTATATTGTGAAGTTATGAGGAAGAATGCAGGGTACCCTTTTTGGTTTAAAGGGGCTTGTAGGGTAACCTAACCCTGAAAACAGAGAATAAGGTCTGACTCCTGGTCGTTAGTTGCTTCATTTCAGCTTTTCAGGGCTTATAGGCGGATTTCGGGTTTAGGGTGTTGATACATTCCAAGCTTATTAGTGTCTGTGGCTCAGAGGCCTTCTGTATTCCCGTCAAAAAATCCGTCCAAGTGCCTTCGGCACTACTGCTGAGGGCTTGTTTGGGGTTTAGGATTTAGGGTCTAGGGTCTAGGTTTAGGGTTTAGGGTTTAGGGTTTAGGGTTTAGGGTTTAGGGTTTAGGGTTTAGGGTTTAGGGTTTAGGGTTCTTCTTGGGAGCCCAGTGTTGCCCTTTACTTTACCCTTTTTTTGGGTTTTGGGTTCCCTTAAAAGGACCCTAAACCCTAAACCCTAAACCCTAAACCCTAAACCCTAAACCCTAAACCCTAAACCCTAAACCCCAAACCCCAAACGCAGCCCGAAACCACGGGAGACAACTCCTGGGACTTCGGACGCCAGCATCCGTCGGAGGAGGTCAGCGCAGGCGGCCTCAGCAGTGCCCTGGCCGGCCTGGGAGCTAGCAGGCTGCTTTGGTGGGGCTTTAAGGATTTGTAGGTTCAGGGTTTAGGGTTTAGGCCTAGGGTTTCGGGTTTAGGGTTTAGGGTTTTGGGCCTTCCAGAGAATCTTTACGGGCTTCTCGGGATAATTTCGGGTCGCGAGCATGGACACCAGACACAGAAATCCTGAGATTGGTGTTTGGGTTTGGGGGGCTTAGGGGGTTTAGGGGCTTTAGGGGGTTCTTCTACTTTCTCCAGAGTTTAGCGCTTTTAGGGCTTTCGGGCTTCTGTTTTGTTTCAATGTCGGGCTTTGGGATGGGCGGCTAGTGCTTCTACGGTTTTAGGGTTTAGGGTTTAGGGTTTAGGGTTTAGGCTTCTTGTGGTTTAACCCGAGACCCTAAACCCTAAACCCGAAACCCTACACCGCCCAACCACCCCCCACTTCAACGGCCGCTCGTTGATCTTCTGGGGTTCATGGTCCGGGGGGTCAATGTGTGTTTTTTTTGAGGGGGGCGGGGGTTTGGGCTTAGGGTTTAGGGTTTAGGGTTTAGGGTTTAGGGTTTAGGGTTTAGGGTTTAGGGTTTAGGGTTTAGGGTTTAGGGTTTAGGGTTTGGGGTTTGGGGTTTAGGGTTTAGGGTCTAGGGCTTAGGGTTTTAGGTTTTAGGGTTTAGGGTTTAGGCTTAGGGTTTAGGTTTTAGGGTTTAGGGGGGTTTAAGCGGGGTCCCAAGAACAGTTTGGGAATAAACAGGGAACCCTAAACAAACCCTAAACCCTCAACCCTTAAGAAAGGGAAGAAGGTCTAATTTCTCTGGGTCTTACATTGGGGTTCTCTCCTATGTTTCTTTTGGGATTGGGGGCTTCAGGTTTCAGGGGTTAGGGCTTAGGGTTTAGGAGATATGCCTTGTGCTGGAAGGTTAAAGAGGGGCGATGTCTCAAATGCTCTGCAGGCCGGTTCCGCAAGGGTCTATGTGATAAAGGCCGGTGGCATCTGTTTCCCTTATACCTTAATATTTATAGCCCCAAGATCCCCCAATAAGAACTCCGAATATATGCCCTATGAGACAGAAACCCTACTTGAAGAGACCACCAACCCCTATAAGGTCTACGTGAGAGACGAGTTCCTTCAAAGATTTAGGTTTGCATGTGCATGCACCTAATCCCTACACCCTACACCCTAAACCATGAAGGAATGCAAATCCTTGCTCGTGGAGCCCTTGAATGTCCTGCTAGGGTTGAGGAGACACCAAACCCTCGACATTGAACCCCCAAAGCCTAGACCCTAAGCAACCCAAAACCCCTCAACCTTACTCAAACCCTGCACACATTGACCCCGCACCCTAAATAGCCTAAATATTGACCCCCCCAAACCCCAGAACACCCTAACACCTGAACCCTAGAGCCGAACGTTAAAGCCCCAAAACCCTGAACACCCCTAAAACCCCCTAAAACCCCCTAAAGCCCTTAGTAGCCCAGTAACCATATTACGATAAGGGCACCCTTTTTAGGGTTGGCTCCTTTAGAAGAGAGCCTTGAACCAACAAAAAGGCAAAGGGGCACCACGGGGCTACCCGAAAAAACTGAACCTCTACACGATGACCCCAAACCCCAGGCTCTAAACCCTAGACCCCCCAAAACCCCCTGAACCCTAAAGTCGCAAGAACACATCCCCTGAACCACACCGAAACCTCAAACCTCAAACCCCTCAGGCCTTCAGGCCTTCAGGCCTTCAGCCCTTCGGCCCTTCGGCCCTTCGGGCCTTCGGCCCTTCGGCCCTTCAACCCTTCAACCGGTTAGGGTTTTGGGGTTTAGGGTTTAGGGTTTAGGGTTTAGGGTTTAGGGTTTAGGGTTTAGGGTTTAGGGTTTAGGGTTTAGGGTTGAACCCTTCAACCCTTCAACCCTGAACCCTGAACCACGCAGTCCCAATGTTTCCTGTGTGCCGGGCCAAACCCAGCCAATGCGCAAGCTGCGGCTGCCCAGCCTGCGCATAGAAGCGTTTAGGGTTTAGGGTTTAGGGTTTAGGGCTTAGGGCTTAGGGTTTAGGGTTTAGGGTTTAGGGTTTAGGGTTTAGGGTTTAGGGTTTAGGGTTTAGGGTTTAGGGTTTAGGGTTTAGGGTTTAGGGTTTGGGGAATCCGGGCTGGGTTTGAGGGCTCTCCATAATCTAAATTTCGATGGCGGCTGCATAGGAACTAGGGCCCCATAGAACCTTAAAGCTTGTCTTGGTAACCCAGTAACCACATTTTGACAAGGGCACCTTTTTTGGGGTTGGTTACTTTAAAGGGGAAGCCACAACCCAAAAAAAAGGGTAAAGGGTACCTCTGGGCTACCAAGTTGTTCCAAATCGTCCACAAGTTGGTGGGCTGCGTGGCTGGGGCATAGGGCTTACAGGGTGGGGCCCCCTTACTATACTAACTGTAGTTAAGGAACTTATAACCTAACTTAGGGTCCTTATAACCCAATTTAGGGCCCTTATAACTCTACTTATAACTAGGGGGCCCCACCCTGTAGGGCTTAGGGTTCAGCTGAGCTTGGTATCGAGGCCTTCAAAACCCTAAAAACCCGAACCTCGGAACCCTCAAGCCTATAGAGTCATTCTAAGCCGACCGTACTTGTAACCATAACATGATGAGGGTACGCTGGTTCGTTTCTACAGGAACCTAGAACCAACGAAAGGGCAAAGGGGTACAGCAGGACTACTAAGCGCAAATTCGGAACTCGAAGTAGGCAGTCGCGATACCTCCGATTCCAGAAGGTACCATGAGTCTGCATGATTGTTGCAACAGTAGCAGATCTCATGCTAAAATCCACGACCACGACAGTATCCTGCTCCTGAGGCAAACTGCCATGGAATGCGAAGTTGTACGCCGCAAAGAGAATGAGAATGCCAGGTTCAGCATGCCAGACGTCCAAGGCTCATCTCCGAATCTCCTACAAGGAGGGGCCCCCTAGTTATAAGTAGAGTTATAAGGACCCTAAATTGGGTTATAAGGATCCTAAATTAGGTTGTAAGTCCCTTAACTACAGTTAGTATAGTAAGGGGGCCCCTCCTTGTACTGTTAAAGGCAACGCACTTCGAGTAATCCATCGGCGCGTCAACCCACTCCAAGTTGAAAACAGCACTGCTCTTAGGGTAGCTACATGGCCCCTTAGTATGGGGCCCTTAACAAGGGCATACTTCAGAATCCTTTGAGGGAGGTATGCGACCATATTCAGAGCCCCTGAAACCACCCTTAGAACTGCCAAAAAAAAAGCATGTCAGCTACACCAAGTAGGAAACACTAAACCCTAAAAGCCTTTAGGGTTGCGACTCAAGGCGCGCTGTTAAAGATTGTTCCAGGGGCAGCGGCTAGTTGCACAAGAACAGAGGGGCGCTTGGGACAATCTTCATCACTTTTCGGGAGTTTCAGGGCTAAAGGCTTAGGGCTTGTAGAGCTTAGGGTTTAGGGTTTAGGGTTTGGGGTTTAAGGTATAGGGTTTGGGGTTTACGGCTTCGGGCTTGGGGCTCCCTAAATCCCACACCCCCCAAACCCTCCGAGTCCTCCAGCACCTGGCTCTCCGCCAGCCTCTTGAGGCGAGCGTCCTCGTCGGAAAAGCAAAAAAAAGTGCAGCCAGAAAGAGATAGGGTGCAGGGTTCAGGGTTCAGGGTTCAGGGTTTAGGGTTTAGGGTTTAGGGTTTAGGGTTTAGGGTTAGGGGGTTAGGGGGTTCGGGGTTTTCGGGTTCAGGGCTTGAGGGCCCACCTACCATGGCTAGGATGGGCCCCGAAGCAAATGCTCTATGGTCCCGATAGGGGTATGAGTATCTACAGGGTGGGGCCCCCCTTACTATACTAACTGTAGTTAAGGGACTTAGTACCTAACTTAGGGTCCTTATAACCCAATTTAGGGCCCTTATAACTCTACTTATAACTAGGGGGCCCCACCCTGTACCCTCTGGGCAAGAAAACGCCATATACACCCTAAGCCCGAAGCCCTATTATAAGCCCTAAAGCCTAAAGCCTAAACTCTAAACCCTAAACCCTATAAACCCTATAAACCCTATAAACCCTATAAACCCTATAAACCCTATAAACCCTAAACTAAACCCTGAACCCTAAACCCTAAACCCTGAACCCTAAACCCTAAACCCTAAACCCTAAACCCTAAACCCTAAACCCTAAACCCTAAACCCTAAACCCTAAACCCATCAACAAGGGCGCTCCCTCTCCCTGTCTCGCTTTCTCCTGGGCGTCCCGGAGCAACCGATCCGGAAACGGCCCCAGCGCTTGGGCCATGAGCCGGATAAGCTCCTCTCCCAAGCAGTCTAGGGCTTCGGGCGTTTGGGTTCAGGGCTTAGGGTTTAGGATTTGGGGTTTAGGGCTTAGGGTTTATCTGCCTATGTAGAGCAGTCTAGCGCTTTGGAGGTTTCTGTAGGGTTACAGCGAAAAGGGCTTTGGGGTGCAGGGTTTAGGGTTTAGGATAATGTCAAATTCCACAGAGAAAGGATTTTTGGGTTTGCAGGTTCGGGTGTGCGGTTTGGGGCTTTTGGAATGGGATTGGCAGCAAGGCGCAGGCCAGTTGCAGCTAGACCCGGGAGTAACCTAGGAATAAGAAAGGGCCCCCTTTTTGGTTGTAAGGGAATTACAAGGGAATCCCCCTAAACCCTAAACCCTAAACCCTAAACCCTAAACCCTGAACCCCCAACCCCAAAAAAGGGAGAACAAAGGGGCCGACTCTCGGTCCTAGGCAGGTTGTTTCACCTGGAACTCCTAGGAATCGCCCCGCGCAACTTCCGACCATGGGAGTCCGGAACTACGGTTTAGGGTTTAGGGTTTAGGGTTTAGGGTTTTACGGGAAAAGCCCTGAACGCAAAAAACCCTGAAATCCCAACCCCCCAAATCCCGAAAACCCTTAACGCCACAACCCTAAACCCCTAATCCCTAAACCCCAAACCCTAAACCCCCCAAACCCTACACCCTAAACCCTAAAACACAAATCTTAAAAACCCTAACCCTAAACCCTAAACCCTAAACCCTAAACCCTAAACCCTAAACCCTAAACCCTAAACCCTAAACCCTAAACCCTAAACCCTAGCGGCCTGGGGCTCATGGGAGTTGAAGATCAGCTGCCCTGAGACGAGGTAAGCCTGGGTTGGCCTTTTAAACCCCCTGAAAAATATTTGGGGTTCAGGGTTTAGGGTTTAGGGTTTAGGGTTTAGGGTTTAGGGTTTAGGGTTTAGGGTTTAGGGTTTAGGGTTTAGGGTTTAGGGTTTAGGGTCCCTAATCAACCCAAACAACATAGCAAAATGTCTTAAAAACCAACCTGGAAGCTGCCGTCACACCCAGTGTCCAGGTGTCGCTGGGTGGACCCCAACCTGGGGTCAGAGAACATGGTGGGCTTGGGGTTTAGGGTTTAGGGTTTAGGGTTTAGGGTTTGGGGTTTGGGGTTTAGGGTTTGGGGTTTAGGGTTTGGGGTTTAGGGTTTGGGGTTTGGGGTTCGGGGTTTAGGGTTTAGGGCCTAGAGCAAAATCAGTTGTCTTTAAGGCTGAGGGTTCGCAAGGGCTTCTCGTGGGGTGGGCACAGGGTTGGGGGCGGGGGGGGGGGGTTCCGTTCTGCTTTGGGGTGGAGGGGAGGGGCGTTCCAGGGCTCAGTGAAATTAAAGAACCCTACACCCCGAACTCCAAACCCAAACCCTGAATCGCATTTGGGGTTTAGGGTCTAGGGTTCAGGGCCAAACCCTAAGCCTCTTAACCAGGACTTAGAAAAGCTTTAAACTCTGCTTCGAGTTTCCTAACCCTAAACCCTAAACCCTAAACCCTAAACCCTAAACCCTAAACCCTAAACCCTAAACCCTAAACCCTAAACCCGAAATCTATTCTGGGCATCAGGCTTAGGGTTGCGGGGCCACTGCCGAGAAGGAAATCCGAAACCTCAAAGGCCAGCTGAGACACCTGCCCGAATGTTGAGCAGGACCTCCGGGGCGCGAAACCTGAGGTTTAGGGTTTAGGGTTTAGGGTTTAGGGCTTAGGGTTTCGGGTTTAGGGTTTAGGGTTTAGGGTTTAGGGTTTAGGGTTTTAGGGTTTTAGGGTTTTAGGGTTTTAGGGTTTAGGGTCTCTTGGCCTTGCACTCGAGGGTTTAGGGTCTAGGTCTTAAGAGTTTGGGGATTAACCATGTATGGCTTGCCCTAAACCCTAAACTCCGAAAGCCCTGCAAGTGCAACCTTCGTTGGCATTTTGTGGGTTGTCAAAGCTAGGGGCTTAGGGCCTAGGACCTAGGGGCCCGGAGCAACCTACAAACAAGAGGAGTCACTTTTGTCGCTTCAAAGGCTACAATAAGCCCTCAAACCCTCCAAACGAAGGGTACTTCAACTTGGGTTGCAAGCCCCAGGAAAAAACAGGAAGAAGACACAAGGGTGAGCTTCCTTGAAGAGTGAACAATTCGAACCTAATTGGCGGCTTTTGCCTTGGGACGTTCCCGCTTATACTAACAGTCCGTAATGGGGATGAAAATGGGGGGGGGGGGGGGTACTATAGTCCCTATTAAGTACTATTAAGGGCTGCTAATATACGGGGGAACATCCCAAAGTGAACAAAAAAACCGAATAGGGCGTTCTTGCCCTTATATTTTCTACCTTGTGCATTTCTACCTTGTAGGCGTTTTTGCCCTTATATTTCTGCCTTGTATTTAGGGGCCAACAGATGGCGATCAGGCATCGTGCAGGCTGCATAGCTACTTGGCCATGCATAGGGACGATGTCACATGATGTAGGGTTCTACCCTAAACCCTAAACCCTAAACCCTAAACCCTAAACCCTAAACCCTAAACCTGGGATCCAGAGTCCCTTCTAGTAGCCCCAATGTAGGGAAGCCAGAACCCTGAAAGACCAGCGAAGTCACCCCTCTGCTTGCCATCACAGGAATGGAAAATTCTCCACCCTAAACCCTAAACCCTAAACCCTAAACCCTAAACCCTAAACCCTTGTCCTATATCCTCAACCCTTTTCCATTTTGAAGGGGCTCATTTATTAGTAAGGAACCTACCCCTTCCCCCCCCCCCCAAGAAAAAAATAAAATAAAAACAAAACTAAACAAACAAACAAACTAGGATCCCAGGCCCTGAGCCAGGGTTTACGGGTCGAGGTTCAGGGTTCAGGGCATAGGGTTTAGGGTTTAGGGCTTAACCGAACCCCGGAAAAAAGTTGAGCTGGGAACTGCTTCGTGTGGATGGGGTGCGGCCTTGGTGGAAAGGCACCGTGGCTGAACTACACCCTAAACCCCGAACTCTGAAGAATCTGAAACCTTTCCGAGTTGGGCGCAGTCTCCCTTGGTAGCCCAGTAGCCATGTTATAATCAGGGTTTTTTTGGGTTTAGGGATTCTAGGGCTTAGGGTTACTCTTTTTTGGGGTTGGTTGCTTTATAAGGGAGCCTTGACCCAAAAAAAAAGTGAGCAGGCCACAGCCGGGGCTACCAAGCTTCACAAACCCTAAGCCCCAAACCCTACAGGGTGGGGCCCCCTAGTTATAAGTAGAGTTATAAGGGCCCTAAATTGGGTTATAAGGACCCTAAGTTAGGTTATAAGTCCCTTAACTACAGTTAGTATAGTAAGGGGGCCCCACCCTGTAAACCCTAAAACCACAAAACTCTGCGATCTTCGACAACCGACGTCAATCCAACAGTGTAGAGCCTGCGACACTAGGACGTTCGGGCTTCAAGTGCGATGGGTGCGGGCGTTTAGGCTTTAGGGTTTATTGCAGTTTAGGGTTTAGGGCGGTTTAGGGTTTAGGGTTTAATTAGGGTTTAGGGTTTAGGGTTTAGGGTTTAGGGTTTAGGGTTTAGGGTTTAGGGTTTAGGGGTAGAAGCCGAGTTGCTTCTTGTCCCCTTCGAAGACGGCGTTCCCGTAGTCGATGAACTTCACCAGTGGTTGTGTCAGTATCATCGTCGAACCTCCGCCTGGTAGGGTTCAGGGTTTAGGGTTTAGGTGTTTAGGTGTTTAGGTGTTTAGGTGTTTAGGTGTTTAGGTGTTTAGGTGTTTAGGTGTTTAGGTGTTTAGGTGTTTAGGTGTTTAGGTGTTTAGGTGTTTAGGTGTTTAGGTGTTTAGGTGTTTAGGTGTTTAGGTGTTTAGGTGTTTAGGTGTTTAGGTCTAGGTGTTTAGGTGCTTTAGGTCTCCGCCCGAAAAGACTTGGGGATGCAGGGTTTCGGTTTAGGCGTTTTCGTGTCTAAGGGCTTAGGGTAGGGAGGTGATTGGTTAACCCTAAACCCTAAACCCTAAACCCTAAACCCTAAACCCTAAACCCCGAAACCCCGAAACCCCTAAACCCCTTAACCCTAAACCCTCAAACGCCCGCGAAATCCTCAACCCAGAGCTGCAAACCTGGACCTGAACCCGCAGAGCCCCCTGAGCCCCTGAATCCCTGGGTCCTGAACCTCCTGAACACCATACCCTAAACCCTAAACCCTAAACCCTAAACCCTAAACCCTAAACCCTAAACCCTAAACCCTAAACTACATACCCTGTATGCCCTAAACCCTGTACCCTAAACATTCGAATTCGGAGAAGGGAATCCTTAGTTCTGGGGTGCATTGCCACTTCTCTTACCCTAACCCCTAAACCTTAATCCCTAAACCCTGAACCCTACACCCTAAACCCTAAACCCTAAACCCTAAACCCCGAACCCCAAACCCCAAACCCACTTGCAGGGGTTTATAGGGTTGAGAAGATTTCAAGAATTGCCAGACGACAGGCCTGGCAGACTGGCCACGTAGTGCTCCGTTGACGCCAAGCAGCAGTTCTTGTGCTTGATATCCTCAGGGAGTTTAGGGTGGTTTAGGGTTTAGGGTTTAGGGTTTAGGGTTTAGGGTTTAGGGTTTAGGGTTTAGGGTTTTGGGCGATCCCTGATTCCAAAGCTTGTTTAGGGTTTTAGGGTTAAGGTTGTAAGGCTAAGGCTGGGCACACCTCATGCGAAGGTTTAGGGTGACAGGGTGTCGTGGTTTGCGCCAGAGGTACGACAAGCATTCGCACCCTTGCCGATGAGACAGGCCAGGCGCCACAACAGACTACAGAGACGAAATTTGTCAGTTACCCTGAGCCCTAAACCCTAAACCCTAAACCCTACTAGCCTAGTACCACCATGCTCCAAGCCACAACACGAACCCACAAACTGCTGGAAAAGGCTCGGTGTGGGTGCACCCCACCTCTTGCAACACTTTCAGCTGCTGCAGTAGCTGCGTAAGCATGACCCGCACCTGAGGGTTTAGGGTTTAGGGTATAGGGTTTAGGGTTTAAAGGATTGGGGTTTAGGGTTTAGGGTTTAGGGTTTAGGGTTTGGGGTTTAGGGTTTCGGGTTTCGGGTTTAGGGCTTTGATGATGCGGATCGGTTTAGGGCCTAGGTTTTAGGATTTCCCCTCAGCCCTTAACTCTGGAACCCTAACAGAAAACATATGCAAAGAAAGGACAAAACCCTACACCCTAAATCCTAAGCTCTAAACCCTAAAAGACCTAACCCTAAAACCTTAATCCCAAAACCCTAAAAGCCCTCAAAGGCTCGAACCTCGCTCGCATTCAGCCAGAGATCCATAGACCAACCCTAAACCCTAAAACCTCAACGCCCAGAAGCTCTAACCTTGCTCGCATTCAGCCAGTGACCTAAAGCCTAAAACCCGAAAACCCTAAACCCTAAAATCCGAAAACCCCAAAAGATCTTGCTCGCATCCAGCCAGAGATCCATAGACAAGTGCAGACCCCGATTGCCATTCATGCGAACCACGTCGAAGAGTGATGCATCCAGCCATTCCAGGATAAGGCACCAGTAGTCCTCGCTCTTGGGGTTTAGGGTTTAGGGTTTAGGGTTTAGGGTTTAGGGTTTAGGGTTTAGGGTTTAGGGTTTAGGGTTTAGGGTTTAGGGTTTCGGGTCCGGGAAGGAGCCTTCAACCCTTTACAAAACCCTAAGCCCCCAACGCCGAACCCCAAACACAAACCAGTAGGGAGCCAACAAAACTGGACCCCTAGTGGGGCCCCTAAACCATATAAAACCTATAAACCCTATAAACCCTACAAACCCTATAAACACTATAAACCCTATTCACCCTATAAACCCTATAAACCTGAAACCCGAAACCCGAAGCCCTGAACCCTGGCCAGACAAGTGCTTCTCCGCGTAAGATCACACCCATACAAGAGCTAAGGGATGGGGACTAGCCGTATCTCCGAAACGCGGGACGGTTTTGGGGTTTGGGGTTTAGGGTTTGGGGTTTAGGGTTTAGGGTTCAGGGTTTAGGGTTTCCGAAACGCAACTCTTGACTTTTGTCTGGTGGTTTCCGCAAATTAGGGGTACGTTATCGGGGTCCTTTTTGAAGGGAATCCTACTTTTGGAGGGTTTTAGGGGTCCCCCTATTTTCGTGAACCCCCATATCGGCCACTTGAGGACACCTGCGCGTTGCCATGCCTTTTATCTCAGTCGATCACTGCTGTGCGCATGCTGGCCCGCCAGCCTCGTGGCTAGGACCGGCTCCAAGCGTCGCTCGCATCTCGCTTGCAGCGTCCTGGTCCATCCTCAGAAGCGATCCCAAGGATATCCCGCACGCAACCCCCAGAGCATCGACCTCAGGAGAGTCTTGTGCCAGCTGTAGGAGCATCCCGGGAGGAAGCCCCATCCGAGCCCACTCCGTCAGCAGGTCTCTAGCAGCCGTCAAGGAAACTAAAGAGGTTGACGACGAGATGCCAAGCCGGGGGCGAAGTCGTTGGATGGTCTCAGCAAGGTGCCGTCCGTCAAAATTCACATTGTTCCGTTGGCACGCCCACATCAGGAAGTGAATCGGTGCTGATGTGAATGGCAACTCATAGCTCTTCCTGTATCGCTCGTCCTGCCCTGGGATGATCTGCACATTGCCTGTCGGCATGCGCATATCGTACTGTTGGGCTGCCAGGTCAAGAATCATGCGCTTGGACTGGTCATGTGGGCTTGCTCCAGGAAGTGGAAACTCAAGCCACGCATGATTCTTTGCCTGGTTGTGCACTTTCGTGCTGAACTGCCAATAGTTTGCACCGAAATCGCCTTCGAGCTTGAGCCTCCGATACGCGTGCGTCACGAAACCAACACAGATGAACATGCCTGCCAGCTGTGCGTCCTTGAACGTCAGTGTCCTCACATCAGCGATCATGTTCGCACATTCGGCAAAGGTGTACACAAGTTCGGAGCAGCGACCGCAGAGCGCCATCTTGTAGAAGAGGCGGTGGGATTCAGACGGTTCGAGATCAGACCATGTTGCAGGAAGCTCTCTTCTTCCACTGCTGGGCCCAGGGAAAAGACGTTCTGAATCTCCATCAGCCACGGCCCGAGCCAGCTTTCGAAAAACTGGGTATGCCTCCTTGCCTTCAACGAAATCCCACATCACTAACTCGGCCAAGAGCTCGACATCAACCAGGGACGACTCCTGCGCTGCCGATAGCGAGACCGCAGCAGGAACTGTCGTTGTGCCCTGGCGAGGTTGCTTCAGATTCTCTGGCTTCAGGCTCACCTGCTGGCCAAGGCCTGCAACGAGAACGGCCCATCGGTTGCCCCGCGAATTCGCCAAAGAGCCCAGCCTGCCGTTCAGAGTAGGTTTGCTCTTGATGCCCATCACCACGACGATCTCGCCTGCGTGCAGTCGAGCAGGAAGCAAACAATTTGGATCTTGCTCGGCTGCCGCGGTAGTTGCCTGAGCACAGTGCAGATGTGGTATATGTTCAGCCATGACAGCTCTGCGCAATTTCCGATCACTACGGGCAAAGACCTCCGTGAGGACAAATGGCAAGGGATCGGAACGCCCGATGACGCTGGCCAGCTGACTTGGTCTACGCAACCATCTGGCGGAGGCATCCGGGCACCCCTCGCTTTAACCTGACACCCCCACCCTCCTGAAGCCCAAACCAAAGTCCTCCAAACCCTAAACCCTAAACCCTAAGCCCTAAACCCTTGTTGTGTGTCCAGTCCTTGCCGGCATCGTCTTTGGTGGCGAAGGAGTCCAGGCATCGCATCGTGAGCACCTCGGCGCCGGCCTCAAGCTGGGCACTTTCCAACCTCCAGGGAGCTACCGGTTTAGGTTTTAGGATTTAGGTTTAGGGTTTAGGGTTTAGGGCTAGGGCTGCCTCAAGCTGGGCACTTTCCCACCTCCAAGGAAGCTCCGGGACTTTAAGGCTTTAGGTTTATGTAGGGATTGGGGGGGCTTAGGGTTTAGGGTTTAAGGTTTAGGGTTTAGGGTTGGGTTGTTCCCCCTTTGCTAACATTACTAGAATCCCCATTACGGACTGTTGGTATAAGGGGAAACATCCGAACTCCAGGGATTTTAAGGTTTAAGGTTGATGTAGGGCTTTTGGGTTTAGGGCAAATAAGGTTATGGTGTAGACTAAACCCTAAACCCTAAACCCTAAACCCTAAACCCTAAACCCTAAACCCTAAACCCTTAGAGGGTGTTAAGATTTAGGATTTCGGTGTAGGGGCTCAGGCTTTCGGGGCTTCGGCTTGGGGGTTTGAGAGCTGAGCTTCGGGGTCTATACGGTTTTGGGTTTACTTAGTTGCTGAGTTCATAAGCCCCCCCCCAAAAAAAAAAAACGTGTACACTTTCAGTTCTATAGGGGATTCTAGTGTAAAGTGTACTCACTCAGCAACTAAGTTGAGGGTTTAGGGTTTAGGGGCCCATAGGGTTTTGGTTGAGGCTTTTGGGCTTCGGGTTTAGGGTTTATTTTGGGGGGTTAAGGTTGGGATGTTCCCCCTTGTACTAACAGTCCTGGGATGATAACTGTTAGTATAAGGGGGAACATCCCAAGGTTATGTATTAACGCAGGTTTAAGTCGTCTTGTTAAGCTCAGGATTTGGGGGAGCTCGGCCTTTTCTAAGGGTAGTTACATGGTCCTTGGTATGGGCCCGTGAAAGGGTGCCCCTTTTATGCCCCTTGTATACCCTATACAAATGAAGGCCCATACATCAGAACCCTTTCAAGGAGGCTAGGGAATTAAGGGCCCATGATGTGTACCCTTTTGAGGGTTGGGGCTTAAACTCTAAACCCTAAAACCCGAAACCCCAAACCCTGAACCCTAAGCCCTAAACCCCAAACCCGAAACCCTAAACCCTGAGGGTTGAGGCTTAGGGTCCCTGATCAAAGGCCTCTGCAGCAACTGCCCCTCGCCAGGGCCGCTGGAAGTGTACTGGATGTAGGCGTCCTCCTTCCGCATCCTTGCAGAACTTGGGTTTAGGGTTAGGGTTTAGGGCCAGGGGTTCAGGGGTTCCGGGGTTTAGGGGTTTAGGGGTTTAGGGTTGAGGGCTCCAGCGACCTGGCCAAACAATAGCTCCGCTTTCATTTTCATTCGGGTTTGGGCAGACTCCTAGGTGAACCATTCATTTCAGCGAGCTTCAACCGACCCAGGCAAGATCAAAACAAACAGATCCTGCCACTAAGAGAACCCTAGTTGCTGAGTATCTTATGGGAGGATTATAGATGTCCCAAAAGGTTGAAGGTGACCTACTCAGCCAGGAAGTGAACGCGAGGGGGGTCCTGGAAGCCATAGCCCTGCACTTGGGCTTCAGAAGCCTTAACCTTTGGTTTCCCTACTACCCCCCTCTATACTCCCCCCCCCCCCCCCCCCCCCCCTAGGTTCCCCCCATAATTAGGGTTATTTGGGGAACATTAAGCCTACTTCAGGCTATTCAAGGGGGAACCTAGAGGGGGTAGTTTAGAAGGGGGTAGTAGGGAAACCCATAGCCTAAACCCTATACCCCACACCATAGACGTTTGGTTTTAAGGCTGCGGGCTAAATCTTGGGATGTCAGGGTTCCCCCCCCCCCCCCCCATCCAGTCAAAATTCAAAACTAGACTTAAAACACTAAACCCTAAACTCTACTACCTAAATCCTAAATCCTAAACCCTAAGCCCTAAAACAAACCCTTAACCCCCCAATCTGAGACATTTTGGCACCCTCAACCTCGGGGGCTTTCAATGAACCCTAAAATGGGTTTAAGGCTCAGGGCTTTCGGGCTCTAGGGCTTCGGGGCTTTCGGGTTTGAAGGTTTAAGGGTTTAGGGCGTTTTGGGGTTTTAGGATCTAGGGGCTCTGAAGAACAAGCTCGTGGTCCATATTACCTCGAAAGCCCGGATTGTAGTCCCACCGTCGTACATCGCATACGATCCCATGTTGGGGGGTTCAAATAATCCAAATCCAGAACCTAAGCCCATAAACCTTAAACCTATGGAGCCCAAAACCCTAAACCCTAAACCCTAAACCCTAGTCCCTAAAGCCTAAAGCCTAAAGCCTAAACCCTAAACCCTAAACCCTGAACCCTGAACCCGAACCCTAAACCCTAAACCCTAGACCCTAAACCCTAAACCCTAAACCCTAAACCCTAAACCCTAAGCCCTACACCCTAAACCCCTGAACCCTGAACCCTAAACCCTAAACCCTAAACCCTAAACCGCGACCAGGCAGCACTTTGGCGGCAAGGACCTCGCCGCCTGGCCCCCAGCGCCTTCGTCGCTCTTCGCCGCCTCCGACGGGTGGCGTTTTCAGGGCGTTTGGGGGTTGTTGCTTGTTGTTATTGAAGAGGGCCCTAAACCCTAAACCCCAAACCCTGAACCCTAAAACCTTTCCCTTAAACCCTAAACCCTCAACCCTACATTGAAGAGGGTGTAGGGTTTGAGGGGTTGTTGAAGGCTGTTCTAGTCTCTTGGAATGGACAGGGTACGGGTAAGGGATTAGGGTTTAGGGTTTAGGGATACGGGTTTAGGGTTTGGTGTTAAGGTTTTAGGGTTTAGGGTCCCTTCAGGGTTTCTCGTGCCCTTAGTCAAGCGTGGGGCAGGTTCAGACTTCTTTTTTTAGGGGGGGGGGGGGGGGGGGGGGGGGGCACAATTTCAGGGTCTCGGGGGCCCTCGTGGGAAAAGTTCTGCATCTCTGTCGGGGGGAGAGGGGGGAGGGGGAGGGGGGGGGGGTGAGCGGGGGGGGGGGAGGGGGGGGGCGGCGGGGAGGAGGGGGGCGGGCGGCGGGGGGTGGGGGGTGGGGGGGTTAGGGTTTAGGGATTGGGGTTTAGGGTTTAGGGTTTAGGGTTCAGGGTTCAGGGTTTAGGGTTTAAAAGGTGGGGGGGGGGGGGGGCTTCGGGGCTTTGAGTTTGTACAGTTTAGCATTTCGCGGTTTAGCTCTTGCGTGGTTCACAGACAATCTCCCACAGCCGTGTGGCAATGTCTCATACCCTAAACCCTAAACCCTAAACCCTAAACCCTAAACCCTAAACCCTAAACCCTAAACCCTAAACCCTAAACCCTAAACCCTAAACCCTAAACCCTAGACCAAGCCAGCAGCCTCATGTCCAAAACGGCCCCCGGAAGGACAGAGAACCCATTTGCGTAGCTGGGGCGCAAATACTACCCTCAGGGTCCATCTAGGGGTTAGGGTTTAGGGTTTAGGGTTGAGGGTTTACAGGGTGGGGCCCCCTAGTTATAAGTAGAGTTATAAGGGCCTTAAATTGGGTTATAAGGACCCTAAGTTAGGTTATAAGTCCCTTAACTACAGTTAGTATAGCAAGGGGGCCCCACCCTGTAGGGTAGGAACACAGTATCTGCTTGGGCCTTAAAGGGGGCTTCCCCCTAAGGTTGTACTTTTGGGCACGTTTTACAGGTTGCTTGATACAAGGGCCATTTTGGGAGTGTCTTCAGGGACCTCTTATCCTGGGTTTCCCTACTAACCCACCTCTATACTATCCCCCGTAGGTTCTCCCCCGGAAATTACCCTTAATTAGCCCGGCAAAATTGTCCCAAAGAAACAATCATTCTGGGCAGAACCTACGAGGGGAAAGTATAGAGGAGGGGTAGTAGGGGGAACCTGTGACCTTCGGGGTACATCCTTAGGGCCTTAGGGGTCCGAGTATGACTCTCCTTGATATTCATCTAAAGTGGGCAGGCTAAGGATTCCAAGGCCCTAAGACCTAAACCCTCAACCGTAAACCCTAAACCCTAAACCCTAAACCCTAGACCATTGCCCTAAACCCTAAACCCCATATCTTCTTTTGGATTGAGGGTTGAGGGTTTAGGGTTACACAGGCAAAAAGACGCCTAAAACATTCCATTGCCCAGCCCTGAAAAAGGAAAGAAAGTCTGCTATACTGCGCGCTGGGAAGTGGCTCTCAGGCAATGTTGCCATTTTTCCAGCAAGCAAGCGACTGGCAAGTTTGCATCGTCAGCAGGTACACTTAAACGAGCTGCTCTTGTCGTTCCAATCTGACCCGCGGAGTACGTCTCCGAAGGGGTTGATTTGTCTCACCTTTGCTGTCGAGTTGCAGCTTGCGTCGTGGAGCTCAATGCTGGTACCCGAACAAGCAGTGAGCAAACCCCCTGAACCCCCAAACCCTAAACCCTAAACCCTGAACCCTGAACCCCTTATATAACCCTACAAACCCTACAGCCTGAACCTTAAACCTCAGGCCCCCAGGAACGCTGGCCTGCAGCGACAGCGCACAATCTCACTTAGTACCCCAGTAACCATATTATAAATAAGGGCACCCTGTTTTTGGTTGGCTACTTGACAAAGGGCACCTTAAAAGCCCAAAAAGGGTAAAGGGTACCACCGGGCTACCAAGATTCGCTTAGTTCAGGATCGTGCCGCCATAGCTTCGATTGAGGTTCGCGCAGCGGCCCCGAAGCAGGAAGTCCAGGACGAACCAAGTGATGTTGTTCAGAAGTGGCTCTGAGGTGACATCCTCTACTTAAGAAGCCTTAAAGTAAAAATATGTTTCTTAGTCTTCTTTCTTAATAAGGGTGAAATAGGGATATTTGTTCTTATTCTTTTGGGGTTCTTAAGCAACTAGTAGTCCTTGCTGTCGCCACAGACACATTCCACGTCCAAACATGCTGAAAGCTCACGCGCCCCAAGCGCCAAGACTCAAACTGAAGAGTGTCCTAGCCTCCCCTAAACCCTAAAACCCTAAACCCTAAACCCTAAACCCTGAGCCCTAAACCCTAAACCCTAAACCCTAAACCTTAAGCCTTCAAGCGCCAAGTCTCAAACTCAATCGTGTCTTCCACCAGGCTCCCACTGCCCAGTGTGTTTGGCTTGACAATGTGCGTGTGCACGAAGCCACCGAAGAATGGTCCCGTAGCTTGCTCCTGCAGTCCAAGATCTAGGGTTTTGGTTTAGGGTTTAGGGTTTAGGGTTTAAGGTTTAGGGATTAGGCTCACGGCTTAAGGGTTGAGAGTATAGGGGTTTAGGGGTTTGGGGTTTAGGGTTTTTCAGGTTTCGGGGTTTAAGGGGTCTTATATGGGGTTAAGGAGCTAGGGCTTTTAGGGGAACATGTCCTTACATACTTGTTCCTATGCCGCTACGAGCGAATGAAGTTTGAAACACTGCCAGCACCTTCGAACTCGAAGACATCACAGCAAGGCTCCCAAGATCGAACTCGTAATCCCTTATAAACCCTGGAGCCTACGCCCCAAACCCGTAGCCCCCTGAACCCTGCCCCTAAACCCTAAACCCTAAACCCTGCCCGTAAACCCTAAACCCTAAACCCTAAACCCTACACCCTAAACATGCAAGGCTCGTAAGTGAGCCGGTAGCTGGATGGCGGAACATCGGTGGCTTCTGCACTGCACCTCTCGCAGTGCGTGACTTTGCTTGTCCATGGGAATGGAACAATGAAAGCCAACCTTGGGCCGAAGGATTCGGGTTTAGGGTTTAGGGTTTAGGGTTTAGGGTTTAGGGTTTAGGGTTTAGGGTTTAGGGGTTTAGGGTTTAGGGTTTAGGGCTCAACCCTGGACTCTACAAAAGCGATGGCAGGTCCAACAGCCGGGGAGCATCCAGTAGTTGAAAAACAGGGGCAGCTGCAGCGGCTGCTCCTGAACTTCTAAATCTGGGAGTTTAGGGTTTAGGGTTTAGGGTTTAGGGTTGTAAGGTTTAGGGTTTAGGGTTTAAGGTTTAGGGTTTAGGGTTTAGGGCTTAGGGTGAAGGGTTTAGGGTCTAGGGTTTAGCGATTAGGGTTTAGGGTTGTAAGGTTTAGGGTTTAGGGTTTAGGGTTTTAAGGTTTAGGGTTTAGGGTATAGGGTTTACTAATTCATGGTTGGGATACTTCCAAACGTCAACATTTAGAGTTCAGGGTTTAGGGTTTAGGGGTTAATGTCAACATTAGGGTTTAGGGCGTAGAGTCAGGGCAGCATTAAACATGTTAAATTTTTGTTCCTTATTGAGCTTAAGTACCCTTGAACATGTAAAATGCTACCCCACTATGACAAAGCTTTTGGGGTATAAGGAGGGATACGTAGAAGGGACCCTGAAGTTTTGTTCCGGTAAATAACCCCTATTTCTGCCTTATATAGCCCCTATATACCTAAGTAGCCGCCCAGAAATAACCCCTAAATAACCCCAAAGGTCCCTTATAAGGGTCCCTCTGCTTATAAGGGTCCCCTCCTTGAAAGCGAGAGTGTTTGGGGCAATGACATCCTTGAGGCCTTTAAAAGGGTTGGTGCTGCGCATACCTTAATCGGGATTCACTTAGGGTTTAGGGTTTAGGGTTTAGGGTTCAGGGTTTAGGGTTTAGGGTTTATAGGGTTTATTCTAAGATAAAGTATAGAATAGCGGAGGGTATATGACCCCATTCTTAGGGTTCGCTTGGTCCTCAAGAGTTCAGATTGCAGCCCAAAACCCTAGACCCTAAACCCTGAGCACTAAATCCCAAACCCTAACCCTAAGCCCTAAGCCCTAAGCCCTAAACCCTAAGCCCTAAACCCACAGTGCGCTCGCTCTCTGTCTGGGTCCTTGAGACGCTGTGGGTCCGATCTGGCCAGGAAGTCCTCAATCGCCTGCCAGGCATGGGTTTAGGGGTCTAGGGGTCTAGGGGTTTAGGGGTTTAGGGTTTAGGGTTGTAAGGCTTAGGGTTTAGGGTTTAGGGTTTAGGGTTTAGGGTTTAGGGTTTAGGGTTTAGGGCGTAGAGGATGATGACTTTGATTCTTAGCAGATCGCAGCCCGCAGAGATACGAAGCTTGGCACTGCAACCCTAAACCCTAAACCCTAAACCCTAAACCCTAAACTCTAAACTCTAAACCCTAAACCCTAAACCCTAAGCCCCACGGTGGGACCTCCTCCGATCGCTTCCGAATAATCAAGCGAAACCAGAACCTTGTGTTTGCGTGCGGCCAGCGGATGAAACGCCAAACCCTGAGCCCCTAAACCCCTAAAACCCTAAACACTCAAACCTCTACCCTAAACCTAGTTGCTGAGAACACTGGGCCAAAAATAGACTAGCCTTTTCAATTCTGGTAGGCTAATATATATATATATGGTCAGCCCCCCCCCCATGATCCACACCTATGGTTTTCCTGTCTTCATCTTTGTCTGATTTTCTGTTTTTTCACCGGAAAAATGCAGTAAAAACTGCACTGGAATACAAAAAGCTCTATTATATTATCCTCTATAAAAACACTAGTGTTTTTATGTGCATTTTGCTTCTGAAACTTGTGTTTTGCGGCTCTATAAACTTTTAGAAGGGTAGCCATTTAGAAGCTTAAGGCTTTTCAGGGTTTTAGGTTTTAGGGGTTTGTAAAAATTTAGATGATCTGTGGAAGGCACCGGGGCTTCCCCAGACCATTTGCAACTTTAAAGATCCTTAAAAGGGGCAGCCATTTTCAAATTTGAAGGGCTTTAAGGTATTTAAAGCCTTTCAAGATTTTCAAGATTTAACGGATCTTAAAAGGCTTTAAAGCCCTTAGCAACCTCGAAACGTTTATCCCTTAAAAGTCTAAAATTCTTTAAAATTTAAAACGGGCAGCCGTTTAATATTAAGGAAGTTACGGATTTTAGAATTGAACATCCTAGAATCTTTAAACTTTAAAAGGACAGCCATTTACAACTGTAAGAATTTCAGGGTTTTACGGATTTTAAAAAATTTATATTGTCTGGGGAAGGCACCGGGGCTTCTCCAGACCATTGGCAACTTCAACAATCTCTAAAATCCGCAAAGGACAGCCACTTAAATACGTAAGCAAGTTAAGGTCTTTAAAAGGCTTAAACGGCTTAAAACCTTCATAATCCCGAGAATGCTTAAACAGAAGCTTAAAGATTTTTATAAGATTTAAGATTTTTAATGTTTAGGTGGGTCTGGGGAAGCCCCAGTGCCTTCCCCAGATCATGTAAACTTGCAAAAACCCTCAAACCCCTTAACCCTAAAATCCAACCCCGAAGCCCTTAGCTCTAAACCCTAAACACTCAGCACCAGACCCTAAACACTAACCCAAAAACGTATCACTAAGCCCTTAGCACAAACCCCAAGCACTTAACATGAAACCCTAAACACTTAAGCACTAGACCCTAAACACGAAACCCTAAACACTCAAACACTACACCCTAAAAACTAAACCCTGAACATTACACACTAAACCCTACACACTAAACCCTGAACACTAGTAAACATCCTTAAAACCCTAAATCCAAAAAACCAAACCCGAAACCCTTAACACTAAACCCTAAACACTCAGCACTAGACCCTAAACACTAACCCTAAAAACTTAACACTAGGCCCACAAACCCCAAACACTTGACACGAAACCCTAAACACTTGAGCACTACTAAACCCTAAACACTCAGCACCAGACCCTAAACACTAACCCTAAAAACTTAACACTAAGCCCTTAGCACAAACCCCAAACACTAAACAGGAAACCCTAAACACCTAAGCACCCCTAAAAACTAAACCCTAAACATTACACACTAAACCCTACACACTAGACCCTTAACCCAAAAAAAACCGAAACCCTTAGCACTGAACCCTAAACACCAGCGTAAACACTAACCCTAAAAGCTCAACACTACGCCCTTAGCACGAACCCCAAACACTGAACACGAAACCCTAAACACTTAAGCACTAAACCCTTACTAAACAATAAACCCTAAACACTTAAACACTACACCCTACAAACTAAACCCTAACCATTACACACTAAACCCTACACACTAAACCCTAAAGCCTAAACAGAAGGATTTTTTAAGTTGTCAATGGTCTGGGGCAGCCCCGGTGCCTTCCCCAGATCATTTAAATTTGTAAAAATCCTTAAAACCCTTAACCTAAAACCCAAACCCGAAACCCTCAACACTAAACCCTAAACACTAACCCTAAAAACTTAACACTAAGCCCTTAGCACAAACCCCAAACACTTAGCACGAAACCCTAAACACTTAAGCACTTAACCCAAAAACTAAACCTTAAACATTTCAAACTAAACCCTAAACATTAGACACTAAACCCTAAACCCTAAACAGTAAACCCCAAGGCCAGAACCTCGAGCCCTACTAAATCTAAACCTGAAACCAAAAACCCGTCGGGGTTTCAGATGCTTACTGTTTGGATTTCAGAGTTTAGGGTTTTATTTGGGTTTTAGCCGAGCCGCTTGACCCTAGACCCTAAAACCTAAACTTAACACTCAACCCTAAACACAAAACCCTAAACCCTGAAACCTACACACTAAACCCTAAACACTAGATTTCCAGAAAAAAGCTGGAGTACCCGGGCTTCGGACTCCAGACTCCAGATTTTTCAGAAAAAATCTGGAGTACCCGCGCCCCGGACTCCAGACTCCAGATTTCCAGAAAAAATCTGGAGTACCCACGCCCCGGACTCCAGACTCCAGATTTCCAGAAAAAATCTGGAGTACCCGGGCCCCGGACTCCAGACTCCAGATTTGCAGAAAAAAATCTGGAGTACCCGGGCCCCGGACTCCAGACTCCAGATTTCCAGAAAAAATCTGGAGTACCCGGGCCCCGGACTCCAGACTCCAGATTTCCAGAAAAAATCTGGAGTACCCGGGCCCCGGACTCCAGATTTTCCAGAAAAAATCTGGAGTACCCGGGCCCCGGACTCCAGACTCCAGATTTCCAGAAAAAATCTGGAGTACCTGGGCCCCGGACTCCAGACTCCAGATTTCCAGAAAAAATCTGGAGTACCCGGGCCCCGGACTCCAGACTCCAGATTTCCAGAAAAAATCTGGAGTACCGGGACCCCCGACTCCAGACTCCAGATTTCCAGAAAAAATCTGGAGTACTCGCGGCCCCAGACTCCAGATTACAGACTCCAGAATCTGGAGTCCAGAGTCCCGGTACTCCAGATTTTTTTTGGAAATCTGGAGTCTGGAGTCTGGAGGTACTCCAGATTTTTTCTGGAAATCTGGAGTCTGGAGTCTGGGGGTACGGAAATCTGGAGTCTGGAGTCTGGGGGTACTCCAGATTTTTTCTGGAAATCTGGAGTCTGGAGTCCGGGGCTGGGTACTCCAGATTTTTTCTGGAAATCTGGAGTCTGGAGTCCCCCCCCTCCCAAAACCCCCTTCCCGAGGCCAAATGTGTGGATCATGGGGGGGGGGGGCGAGCATATATATATATATATATATATATATATATATATATATCTGTGTGTGTGTGTGTGTGTGTTTATGTATCTACCCCAACAGGTTTCAATGGCAACCTGCTGAGCTACTAAGTTAACGCCCTAAACGGCCCAGCTAAGGTGAGAGCGGTGTCGTCTCGTCAAGGAGACGTGGGTTCCGAATGACAGCAAAGGCTTGGTCCGTGTTCAGGCTCTGCAAAACGAAATCAACCTTGACCTGAGAGTTTGAGGTTTAGGGTGTAGGGTTTAGGGTTTAGAGGTTTAGGGTTCAGGGTTTTTGGGGTTTAGGGTCTAGGGTTTAGGGCTTCGAGGTTTAGGACTTCGGGTTTAAAGCTGAACCCTAAACCCTAAACCCTAAACCCTAAACCCTGAACCCTAAACCCTAAACCCTAAACCCTAAACCCTCATAGACGTACACGGAAAATGACACAGCTTCAAAAAATGGACACCCCAAGCGGCCGGAGCAGGCTTATGCGGTCCCAGGAGTTTGGTGTAGAGCACTCCTTGGGCTAAGGATTAGGGTTTAGGGTTTAGGGTTTAGGGTTTAGGGCTTAGGGCTTAGGGTTTAGGGTTTAGGGTTTTGGGATATGTTTGCAGCCAGTGTCTGTAGCCAAAGGCTGCAGCACAGCAGCCAGCCGAAAGAACCAGCACCGGCATGGCCCTCAAGTTCCCACCACCCGGTTCAGAGAGCGCTTGACACCCCAGGGTTTAGGGTTTAGGGTTTAGGGTTTAGGGTTTGGGGTTTAGGGTTTAGGGTTTAGGGTTTAGGAGCAGGAGGTTTCGTCTGCGATTTGCACGCCGATGAATGCCTAATTGCATGCGCATGCTTCCTTTGAGCCAATTCTGCTTCGAAAGTGTGCAAGCTGTGTCAACTGCGGTGGGCAGAAAGAGTAGCAAACAGCCCCACATATCGACTTTTCACCCAAACCCCAAGCCCCCAAACCCTAAATCTCGGTCCTCTGTCGTGGATGATCCCTAAACCCTAAACCCTAAACCCTAAACCCTAAACCCTAAACCCTAAACCCTAAACCCTAAACCCTTCGGAAGGAGTGGTCGTTGTCAACGACCATCCCAGGCCAATGCTTTGGAAGATGTAGGGGAAGGCAGGTTTAGGGGTTAATCGGGTATAGCCGGTATAGCCCTAAACCCAAATCCCCTAAACCCTAAACCCTAAACCCTAAACCCTAAACCCTAAACCCTAAACCCTAAACCCTAATGAGACGTTGGGTTGAGGATCCTAAACCCAAAATCTCTAGAGACAGAGGGTAACCAAAGGGTAGTTTTGGAGCACTTCCACTCCCGACTCTCGAGGGTCTGAGCTTTGGGCTTCGTCTGAAGTCAAGACCCAAGCTGAACACTCCTAAACCCTAAACCCTATAGGCCCTCTACACCCTAAACCCCAAACCCCAAACCCTAAACCCTAAACCCTAAACCCTAAACCCTAAACCCTAGCCCTAAACACTAAACCCTAAACCCTAGAACCCGAGGCCGCCTTCTTTGCGGACACGGAAGACGCGACTGAAGGAGCCACTCGCCACGTAGTCCTCGACAATGTAGGTGGCGCCTGGAAGAGTGTTTCCGAAACATGGGGTTTAGGGTTTAGGGTTTAGGGTTTAGGGTTTAGGGTTTAGGGTTTAGGGTTTAGGGTTTAGGGTTTAGGGTTTAGGGTTTAGGGTAAAGTTTAGGGTTGAAGGGAGCGTATGGGGATGCCGTTTTTTGGGGGAGGTTGGGGGGGGGCCTCTTGGGTCGAAACCCAGGGTAAGACAAGGAACTCTGTTCGTTTGAAGGGGACCTAAACCAAACCCTAAACCCTACAACCCAAAACCCAAAGCCTAAACCCTAAACCCTGAACCCCAAACCCTAAAGCCTAAATTTCCAACCCTAAACCCCAAACCCTAAACCCCAGGCCCTGAAGGGTTTAGGGTTTAGGGTTTAGGGTTTAGGGTTTAGGGTTTAGGGTTTAGGGTTTAGGGTTTAGCGGTTAGGGTTTAGGGCCTTAGCGCAGGGCATATAGGAGGATTTAGGGATCTGAAACTTTCTCAGCCCTGAACCCCAGACCTTCTCAACCCCAAACCCTAAACCCCAAAGAAAGCCTAGAACCCAAACCCTAAACCCTAAACCCTAAACCCTAAACCCTAAACCCTGAACCCTAAACCCTAAACCCTAAACCCTAAACCCTAAACCCTAAACCCTAAACCCTAAACCCTAAACCCTAAACCCTAAACCCCAATCACACTGGGCACCTGAGGCGGAGCCTCCCAAGCGCAGGTTTTTCGACCAGCGCACAAAGTCTGGGTCATCCGTCGGCTTCCTTCGGGGGCAATCGGGTTTAGGGTTTAGGGTTCAGGGTTTAGGGCTTAGGGTTGAATGAGGGTTTAGGGTTTAGGGTCTGGGATCGTCTCCCAGTACGGCTCTAGTCCTTGACAAAGAAGGTCCCTCAACCCTATGAACCCTCTAACTCCTCAACAATGTAAGCTCTAAACCCTACCAACCCTAAACCCTAAAACCGCGACAGGCCCCAAAAAGGGAACCAAAAAAGGGAAAAGGGTTCCACTGGGCTACCAAGCAATAGGTTTCTCCCCGAGGGTCTGCCCTCCCCAACTCCTGCCGCCCTTGCCACCGCCCTTGCCGCCGCCTTTGCCGCCCTTGGCATAGCTGTAGCCCTTGTCCTAGGCTGGGGTTTGTTTGGGTTTGGGGTTTGGGTTTAGGGTTCAGGGTCAAACACGAAACCTACCTTAAGGCTGTTTTAGGAGCCGGTCTACTTGGGGAAACCCGAACTCAGATTGGGAGGCTCAAAGCCCTAAACCCTAAACCCGAAAACTCTTCGACACAAAGCCCTGACAGGCTAACAAGCCGCCCTACTTGGAGGTTCGTGGTACGTATTAACCAATGATAACTGTACTTATAACTGTACTCGTAACCATGCTCTACTAACTGCTTAAGAACCACGAAAAAAAACACACACACACACACACACACACTCACACACACACACACACACACAAAAAAAAACATTATTCCTTACTAAGGGTGATACAGGAATTAGTATTTGTTTATCCTTTTGGGGTGCTTAAGCAAATAGTAGTATTAGGGCGCCACTAACCCCTATAAGCCCTACCGTTATGCCTGTTGTAAACCCTCGAAACCCTGCAAACCCAGTCAAGCCCATGAATCCTCTCAAGCCTATAAACATAAAGCCTGTAAACCCTGCAAGCTATGCAGCCTCTAAACCTCATAAAGCCTATAAACCCTTTCAAGCCTATGACCCTTTAAACCTATGAAGCCTGCAAACCCTCCAAAATCGCTACAAAATACCCTATAAAACCCTGCAAAGACACTCTAGAACCCCCCGCCCCCCCAAACAAAAAAAACAAAGACAACACACAAAAACTCCTCGAAACCCTAAACCCTAAACAATAAACCCTAAACCCCTGGGCTAAGCCAGGCGTCCCCCTTTCTCATGGCGGCCCCACGGGGCTGCGCCGATCTCTTCAGGGGCTCTCGGACATGCAGCGCGAAGCCCAGGAACCTCAGAACGAACTGAGTTTAGGGTTTAGGGTTTAAGGTTAAGGGTTTAGGGTTTAGGCTTTGGGGTTTGGGGTTTCGGGTTTCGGGTTAGGGTTTAGTGTTTAGATGGGCTTAGGGTTTCGGGTTCAAGGTTTAGGGTTTAGGGTTTATGGGTTTAAGGTTTAGGGGTTAGGGTGTATGGGTTTAAGGTTTAGGGCTTAGGGTTTAGGGTTTAAGGGTTAGGGTTTCGGGTTGAGGGTTTGGGGGTTTAGGGTTTCGGGTTTAGGGGTTGGGGTTTAGGTGTTTAGGTGTTTAGGTGTTTAGGTGTTTAGGTGTTTAGGTGTTTAGGTGTTTAGGTGTTTAGGTGTTTAGGTGTTTAGGTGTTTAGGTGTTTAGGTGTTTAGGTGTTTAGGTGTTTAGGTGTTTAGGTGTTTAGGTGTTTAGGTGTTTAGGCGTTTAGGTGTTTTGGTGTTTAGGTGTTTAGGTGTTTAGGTGTTTAGGGGTTTAGGGGTTTAGGGGTTTAGGGGTTTAGGGGTTTAGGCGTGTAGGGGTTTAGGGGTTTAGGGGTTTAAGGGTTTAGGGCTTAGGGGTTTAGGGGTTTAGGTTTTACGGTTTGGGGTTTAGGGGTTAGGTTTTAGGGGTTGGGGTTTAGGGGTTTTGGTTGTAGCGTTTGGGATTACGCGTTTAGGGTTTGAGGGGTGAAGGGTTTAGGGTTTCAGATGTTTAGGATCTGCTTAGGGTGTGGAATTTAGGGTTCAGGGTTTCAGGGGTTTAGGGGTTGAACCCGAAACCCTAAACCCTAGATCACCCTAAACCCTAAACCCTGATGGCAAAGGGCTTTTTTCTACGGGCTCAGGGTTTTAAGGCAACATGCTCCAGGATGTTCGAGGGGCAGCGAAGACCACAAATTCCACTCTGGGAACTGCACAGGCACCTGGGATTTGAGGACTTGAGGGATTGAGGGTTTAGGGTTTAGGGTAAACCCTAAACCCTACACCCTACACCCTACACCCTAAACCCTAAACCCTAAACCCTAAACCCTAATCCGGGCGGAGGGAGGGAAGAGGGAAGCAGGCTGATTCCCTATTCGTTCTTGGTTTCCCGGAGCGCGTCAATGAGGGTGAGCTAATTCCTGCCTAGACCCCAGACTGCAATTCGCCTGTTTTGTTTAGTGTTTACCGAAGACCTACTGTTTTGTAGGCTCTTTTTGCAAAATTGCCTTATCGGATTCTTAGGGAACCTGCAAAAACAAAAGGTTTGAGGTTCTTAAGGTAGGGCTTGGGTTTAGGATAAGGCGGACTAGGCTCAGTAGGTACATTGGGATGTCAGGGCCTGCAAGACATGGACTTATGGTTTAGGGTTTAGGGTTAACTTATCACAAGAAGAACATGGAGCCTGACAGTTCGGCAAAAAGGATTGTCGCTCCAAATCCAAAAGCCTAGTTCAACCAAAACCCAAAGCCAGAGAGAGAGAGAGAGAGAGAGAAAAGAGAGAGGAGAGAAGAGAGAGAGAGAGAGGGAAGGGGAGAGAGAGAGAGAGAGAGCGAGAGAGAGAGAGAGAGAAAAGAGAGAGAGAGAGAGAGAAGAGAGAGAGAAGAGAGAGAGAGAGGGAAGGGGAGAGATTATTCTGCGGTTGCTTTTGGAGTGCCGGTGTTGCGTGTTCATGGAGGGTTGAGGCCTTGGGGTGTAGGGTTTAATAAGGATTTAGGGTAGAATTGGGGTTTGCGAGCGAGGGTTAAGATGAGCCCTGGACGATAGTCTAGTCCCTGTTACGGATCCCTACAGGGTGGGGCCCCCCAGTTATAAGTAGAGTTATAAGGGCCCTAAATTGGGTTATAAGGACCCTAAGTTAGGTTCTAAGTCCCTTAACTACAGTTAGTATAGTAAGGGGGCCCCACCCTGTATAACCCCTGTACCCCCCTTCGGAGTCGACCCTGGAGGAAGAAAAAATGTATCCACTCCTTATGGCATTAGCAGCTATCATGGGAACCCACAACCACAACAGTCTTAAAGTATAGTACTCCAAACTCCCCCTAAACCCTAAACCCTAAAGCCCTAATCCCTAGAGAACCCCTTTAAGACAGTACTTTGGTCCGCAGCTCACATGGGGTTTAGGGTTTAGGGTTTAGGGTTTAGGGTTTAGGGTTTAGGGTTTAGGGATATAGGGTTGTAGGGTTTAGGCCTGGAGGAAGGTGAGATGTCCCTCCAGGAGCTCGGCACTTTGCCTTGGGGTCGCTAGGGTTTAGGGTTTAGGGTTTAGGGTTTAGGGTTTAGGGTTTAGAGTTCAGGACGCGCAACTCAGCAAGAAACACAAACATTTAACAACGACACGCAGCCGCAACTCCACCGAGCCTTGTGTTTTTCATGACACGGAGTCTGCAGGCAGCATTTTTTGGTTGCCTCTGATTTAGGGTTTAAGGTTTAGGGTTTAGGGTTTAGGGTTTAGGGTTTCTGACCAACATTTCAAGCCTCGCGCTCCAAACCGATGTGGTGAAACGAGGGGTGACGGCCTGTACAGGGGCTCACGGATATGCAGCTGCCACCGCGTTGCCGCGTTGTGGGCCCCATGCCGCTCTCGACCCTAAACCCTAAACCCTAAACCCTAAACCCTAAACCCTAAAGCCTCAACCCTAAACCCTAAACCCTAAACCTTAAACCCTAAAACCCTAAACCCTAAACCCAGTCCCCTGAGCCGATGTCACACGAAGTCCACGGCGATGCTTGCCTTACTCCACTTAGAAGCAACAATCAAAAGTTGTGGGAGTTCAACGTTCCCTTCATGGGCATATGCACATAAAGCGGAACAACGACGAACCTCACGCCTTAAACCACCCCTTTTTGGATCCTTTTGCTGCCCAAGCCCTAATAATCACTGGAGCCCTAAACCCTAAACCCTAAACCCGAAACCCTAAACCCTAACCCCCTAAACTAAGCCCTCAGACCAAGAAGCCAACAAGACTGTCCCTCTCAATGCTAAACCCTAAATCCTAGACCCTAAACCCTAAACCCTAAATCCTTCCAACATCCCTAAGCCCAGTTTGCCACATCTTTTGATCGCCATAGAAAGACCACGGGCCAGAGCTCTTCGCCAGCTTGAATCCGTACGGGGCGTCCGAAGGGCGACAGGTCTTCGTAGCACTGCATCACCCCCTGGGGATTTTAGGATTCCTTTGTTGAGGGCTAAACCCTAAACCCTAAACCCTAAACTCTAAACCCTAAACCCTACACCCCAATCCCGAAGTCGCCTTGGGAACTTCGGGCTGACTGTTTCCCGCCCCACCGAAAGCCAGAAAGTGAAGATACATGAGTGCCGAAAACCCATGACACTTGTCTAGGGTTCAGGGTTTAGGGTTCAGGGTTTAGGGTTTTCGGTTTTTGGTTTAGGGGTTAGGGGTCCGGGGTTAGGGTTTATGGGTACCTACCCAGGGTCTTAAAACGACGTCAGGATGCCCAGTAATGGGTACCCCTACTAACCCCGCTCTATACTAGGTACCCCCCCCATAGGTTTCCAGCAAAATTCAGGCTATTTCGGGATGATTAAAGCGGGGTGGGGGTAGACGTGGAGCCGGACACATGCATCTGCATGTAGGAAGGACAGGGGATTATGGACTAAGTAGGGTTTAGGGCGGTGTAGGGTTGATGAGGGCTTGCGGGCATGTTGGGCGCTTGCTTTTCAGGTGTTCCAGTGCAACCTGCCCTAAACCCGAACCCCGAAACCCTAAACCCTAAACCCTGCACCTATACCCAAAGGTAAGCGACCTTATACATTATAGCTTCCACAACATACGAGCTTGCTAGCAATACAGTATGTACATGGGCCCTGACCTAGCCTAAACCCTATACCCTATACCCTATACCCTACAACCCTAAAACCCTAAAACCCTGAACCCTAAACCCTAAACCCTACTAAACCCTAAACCCTAAACCCTAAACCCTAAACCCTAAACCCTCAACCCCAAACCCTAACTACATGCGCACATGGACTCTGTCGGGAAGTGCTACGACTGTGGAGGCCTTGTGAAAGTCGAAGAGGATGGCAAGCCTCCAGGGATCGGGCTTAGGGTTTAGGGTTTAGGGTTTAGGGTTTGGGGTTTGGGGTTTAGGGTTTAGGGTTTAGGGTTTAGGGTTTAGGGTTTGGGGTTTGGGGTTTAGGGTTTGGGGTTTAGGGTTTAGGGTTTAGGGTTTAGGGTTTATGGTTTAGGGTTTGGGGTTTAGGGTGTAAGGTGTCGGGTGTAGGGTTTAGGGCTTAGGGTGACACCCCAAACCCTCGACCCCTCAACCCAGAAGCCTCTGATTGTCGTCCCAGCCATTGGAGGTTTCGTGCGTCCTGTTCGCGTGCGCGCAGGCATTTCGGGAGTATCCGCCATGGTAGAGTTTAGGGTTTAGGGTTTAGGGTTTAGGGTTTAGGGTTTAGGGTTTAGGGTAGAGACCAAGGAAGTGTTCTTGGTCTTCCTTAACTCTGCTCGGTTGTGGGTCACCTTGGGACGAGGGTTTAGGGTTTAGGGTTTCGGGGCACCAGTAGGCGAAGTCTAGATCAACAGGCTGAGGATGGCGTTGCGCATTTACTACTGTGCATCCAAGACGGCATCGCATGCGCCGCCAGTGCCCGTGATGTGAAGGCTCGTCTGCTTGCCCCGCTGCGCCGACCTAAACCCTAAACCCTAAACCCTAAACCCTAAACCCTGAACCCTAAACCCTAAACCCTAAATTTTACTAAACCCTAAACCCTACACCCTAAACCCTAAACCCTAAACCCTAAGCAGTGCCCCTTCAGTTCTTGACAGCGGTGAGCTGCTGCTTCGCTTGCTTCATGCTGATATGGTCAGTTCTCAAAATGATGGTCCCTTTTTTGGGGTTTAGGGTTTAGGGTTTAGGGGTTTAGGGTTTATATAGGGTTTAGGGTTTAGGGTTTAGGGTTAACCCTAAAAAATTGGGGCGCCCTTAGAACAGTAACACCCAAACGGGACCCTACTTTAGAGAAATGACCATATGAACTTTACTCAGGGTTTAGGGTTTAGGGTTTAGGGTTTAGGGTTCCAGGACAGAGTCCGTAAGTATGTACAGGCCCTTCGCGTAGTGTTTGTGAAATTGCGCGTGTGCGCCTGAAGGTCGTGACAGCTCAGACACAACCCCTAAACCCTAAACCCTAAACCCTAAACCCTAGTCCCAAAAAGCCTCTGATCACGGTCCCAGCCGTTGGAGGTTCGGTGCGTCCTCGACGCGTACGCGCAGACATTTCGGGAGCCGCCGCCATGGTAGAGGCCGAGAAAATGTTTTTGGTATTCCTCAAAGTGTGTAGGGTTTAGGGTTTAGGGTTTAGGGTTTAGGGTTTAGGGTTTAGGGTTTAGGGTTTAGGGTTTAGGGTTTAGGGTTTAGGGTTTAGGGTTTAGGGTTTAGGGTTTAGGTGCCAGGGCTCATGCTACTAGAGTTCTTAGCAGGGAAGTGGAGACATCCTTCTGTATTTCCTAAACCCTAAACCCTAAACCCTAAAAGCTAAACCCTAAACCCTAAACCCTAAACCCAATACTACCCTTTAAGGGGTTATATGGGGTGCCGAACTCCGAATTCCTTGCTAAGAACCGCTAAGCCTCAACTCGGGTGAAGTGGAGAGATGCGAATCGTTTAAGGTGCACATGGGGTGTAGGGTTTAGGGTTTAGGGTAGCTCCCTAGACCCTGAACCCTAAACCCTAAACCCTAAACCCCAAACTCCACAAAACAAAGCTTTCCAGAGCAGTCTGGAATCTGGATCTTGCGACAGATTGGTATCCATAGTTCCGGCTCCGATCCCACATGCCCACTCGTGTTTCCTAGGCTCCCAGGGGTTCAGGAAAGAGACCCTAAACCCTGGAACCCTGAACCCTAAACCCTAAACCCCAAACCCGAAACCCTAGGCTTTTTGGTTTCCAGGCTTTTTGGGGATCAGGTTGGTAGTCTCCTTTAATTTTGCCTTTCTTCGATCCCGTGAAAGTACCGCCACAAGAAGGGGTTGCTGCTTTGGGCTTGGGATGGTCTAGGGTTTAGGGGTTAGGGTTTAGGGTATCTAGGGTTTAAACCCTGAACCCCCCCCCCCAACCCGCAACCCGTAAAGCCCCAAGGAACAAAAGAAAGGGGTGTTACCTTAAACCCGAAAACCGAAACCTGAAACTCTACACCATGCCCCCTAAACCCTAAACCCTAAACCCTAAACTATACCCTAAACTAAACCCTAAACCCTAACCCTAAACCCTAAACCCTAAACCCTAAACCCTAAACCCTAAACCCTAAACCCTAAACCGAAAACCCTAAACCTGAACCAAGCATCTGCAGAAAGACGCGCATGAGAATGCGCCCAGTAAGGGAAGGGCACAGGCCCACAGAATCACCATCTCGCCTTGGCCCGGCCGGCAGGTTCGGAACCCTAAGGGTTTAGGGTTTAGGGTTTAGGGTTTAGGGTTTAGGGTTTAGGGTTTAGGGTTTAGGGTTTAGGGTTTAGGGTTTGGGGTTTAAGTTTAGGATTTAGGGGTTTAGGCTTCTAAGGGTTTAGGGGTTGTGAGTTTTTGGGTTGAGGGCTTAAGGTTTACTTAGGGGGACTCAGGGCTCAGGCAGTCCCCTTCAGGTTTCGGAAGAGAGGGTTGCCATCAGGAGCTTGGCATCAGCACTTTTATGGCTTTTATGGTGGCTGCGTAGCCTATGTGAAGACGCAGCGACATCAAAGGTATGGGATTAACTTGAGTCAAAACACCTTCTTTAAGTTGAGCTTTAAAAAAAGACATGTGGCAACATGAACGGAAAGCTTAGGAAACTATGCTTTTCGGCTTGAGTCGCGTCTGGCAGAACCTAGGTTGCCCAGTAACCTAGGATGAAAAAGGGTGCCCTTTTTTGCCTAAAGGGGCTTATAAGGGAACCTAAACCTACCAAAAAGGGAATAAGGGTACTACTGGGCATCCTAGGAACATGACGCCTTCCTTTGGACCACCTGCCTCAACGCGCTGCCCTTCGCAAAGCTCCATCTTGATCTCAGCAGGCTCAGCGACCGGCTCGTCTGCAAGATACCTACAGGTGTTTAGGGTTTAGGGTTTAGGGTTTAGGGTTTAGGGTTTGTAAGGTTTATGGGTGTATAGGGGGTACCCCTGACCTTGTACCTCAGGCGAACTAAACTCCCTGAACTCCGAAGCACATGGGCAAATGGTCAGCATCACAACCTTCTGAAACATGTTCCCTCATGACGTCCCCTGAATTAAAAGGATGGTAAGCGAGGTACCAAATCAACCCTGAACCCTTAACACCCTGACATGGGTACACCCATAGTGCCGCAAACCCTAACCCTAAACTCCACGGTGCGTCGCATTGACTCTGCCAGCATCGAAGCAAGCACACCCTAAACCCTAAACCAGGAATTTGCACCCTGGGCCCTTTACACCCCTAGAAACCCTAAGCCTTTATTTCGCACCCTACGTAGCCCCTTTACACCCTGTAAACCTTGGAAACCCCAAACCCTATAAATCCATAAACAATTCCCTAAACCCTAAACCCTTGAAGAAATGCTCTGCTTCTCAAACCCGCGAGCCCAGTAGGTGACCACATCAGGGGATAGGGCTAGAGAGGTCACCACGGTGGAAGGCTCAGTGTTTGGTCAAGGGCTGAGGGTTTAGGGTTTAGGGTTTGGGGTTTAGGGTTTAGGGTTTAGGGTGTACGAGTCTAAGGCCTCTACGCTCTTGGATTGAAGGGCTTGTGGGCTTCGGGACCGCAAGTGGACCTTAACGCCTCGAACTTAGAGCACTTCCAGGGAAAAAACCCTAAAGCCTCAACCCTAGACCCTACACCCCAGAGCAGTTCTAGGACAAAAAAGCAAGAAGCAAGCATATTGAACTAGAGCTTTAAAGTAGGGCCCAAGGAGCGCGGAAGATGGATAATGCTCGAACCTGACGGCTCAGCAAGGGTTGAGGCTCTTAGGGTCTCAGGGTCGTAGGGTCTTTGGGTCTTACAGGGTGGGGGCCCCTAGTTATAAGTAGAGTTGTAAGGGCCCTAAATTGGGTTATAAGGACCCTAAGTTAGGTTATAAGTCCCTTATAACTACAGTTAGTATAGTAAGGGGTTCCCACCCTGTAGGGTCGTAGGGTCTTGGGGCGGTCTTATGGTCTGAGGGTCGGAGCGTCTTAGGGTCTTAGGGTTTAGTTAGGGTGCTGAACCCCAGATCAACTGGGCCGGTAAGGGTTTCATGTTGGACCCTGTTGAGTGGGGGGGGGGGGGCCCTCTTTAAAGGTCGAGCCTGCCGGGCTATTCAGGTCACAGTGAGCGGGACCCTCTTTAAAGTGAAATCGTTCCCGATATCCGGCATTTTGGAATTAGGGTTTGTTTTTGCCAAGGCCCCGGTAAACCCGGACTCCCGATTGACTCGAAACCATTCGTTCCCTTTAACAAAGGGGCGGTCAAGGAGCCATCCGGATCTGTTTTGCCCTAAACCCTAAAGCCTAAACCCTAAAGCCTAAACCCTAAACCCTAAACCCTAAACCCTAAAGCCTAAACCGCCAAAATCTGCTTTGCGACCCTCTTTAGTGTCCTGGCCCCGGGCCCAGGGCTGTGGATTTGGATGCCTTGGCCTCTTGGTCCAAAGGCTGGGCGGTTTAGGGTTTAGGCTTTAGGGTTTAGGGTTTAGGGTTTAGGGTTTAGGGTTTAGGGTTTAGGGTTTAGGGTTTAGGGTTTAGGGTTTAGGGTTTAGGGTTTAGGGGTTAGGGTTTAGGGTTTAGGGTTCAGGCAGGGTTCGGGGTTCAGGGCGCAGTCCTACAGGCAGGCCTCCTTTCAAGACCCCGGTACGCCCGGAATCCTGATGGAAGCCGCCAACTCCCTTCAAACAAAACGCATGAAAAGCCCTAAACCCTAAACCCTAAACCCTAAACCCTAAACCCTAAAGCCTAAACCCTAAACCCTATCAAGCCGGCAAAGGGGTAGTCCAGGAGCCACCCGGATCTCCTAACATGGGCACGGTTTTCGGACCGAAGACAAGGAAGAAGAGGAAAAAACAAACCCTAAACCCTAAACCCTAAACCCTAAACCCTAAACCTTAAACCCTAAACCCTAAACCCTAAACCCTAAACCGTGAAAGGAAGAAACGATCAAGACCAAGAACAAGGGGAGAGACACTTCATATCAGCTCAGACATGGCAGCACTGCCTCCCTATCAGACCTAAACATCCCAACCCAAAGCACAAAACAATAAAACGCAAATTGTTGGTGCTGGCTCCATGGCCTAGCTAGACAAAGGGGCTGAGATATCCAAGAGGAAATAGGTTCACTGCGGGTTTGAAAGGGATTTATGTGACCCCAAAGTTCGAGCAAAAGGTTACAGACGAGCCTAAACACTAAATCCTATAGACCCTAAACCCTAAACCCTAAACCCTAAACCCTAAACCCTAAACCCTAAACCCTAAACCCCTTTGGGCCGTGCTTGAGTGCACGTGCCTAAACCCTATACCCAACAGGGTTTCGGGAATAGTGGCCAGCTGAGGAGCTGTGTCGAGGTGCACTTCGTTGCCAGCGGCCCAGTGCCGGCCCCCAGGAAGTAGGTCCGCGATATCCTTGGGGTTTCTGGTTGGTTTAGGGTTTGGGGTTTAGGGTTTAGGTCTTGGGGTTGAGGGTTTAGGTCTTGGGGTTTAGGGTTTGGGGTTTTGTGGAGCTGAAAACCCTAAACCCTGAATCCCTCAAGCCTTAAGCAGTTTAGGACCTACGTCCTGACTTCGGGGTTGAGGAGCTTCGGGATTTCAGTAGGCTCTTGAAGCCTGCTCCAAGGGGATCTAAGGTTACAGCAAATTTAGGGATTGGGGTTTAGGGTTTAGCGTTTAGGGTTTAGGGTTTAGGGTTTAGGAATTAAGGGTTTGGGGTTTGGGTTTAGGGTTTAGGGTTTAGGGTTTAGGGTTTAGGGTTTAGGGTGAGGTGGTTCGGGTTCGGAGTACTTGACAGGGGATGGACAAGCATGAGAGGTAATTTGCTCTCCAGTAGCTTACGTAGGCACACGACACCTCGCATACACGGTGGCACAGAGTAAGCTGCGGCCCTGAGCTACCCCGAGCCCTAATCCCTAATCCCTAAACCCTAAACCCTCAACCAGATTCAGGGTGACCTTGATACAAGGACATCAACCTCGGTTGGCCAAGCAGCACGGCCAACAAATCCGTGATGCCGCCTGCCGAGGCAGGTGGTCTTACTGTTAGTAGGGCATGAGGGAATGAGGTACCCTGTAGAATCCCTTAAAGGGGATATATCATTCTCTACTAACCAACCGTAAGTGGTAGGGCTTCTGGAGCGTTAGGGGATAGGAGTCCTGCCTGCTTGGCTTTCTATTCAAGCATACACCTACACTTCCTAGACTCAGTGCTTCCCTAAACCCTAAACCCTAAACCCTAAACCCTAAACCCTAAACCCTAAACCCTAAACCCTAAACCCTAAACCCTAAACCCCAATTCAACCCTACCGAGCTCGCAGGTATACTAGAGCCACACTACTGCTTGAGGAGCTATACTTCGGGGGAGCCCTCATTCGTAGCCAAGACCTACGGTTTAATTATATAGATCCTGGTTCGCACGTGCCTAAAAAATAAAACTACAGGGTGGGGCCCCCTAGTTATATGTAGAGTTATAAGGGCCCTAAATTGGGTTATAAGGACCCTAAGTTAGGTTATAAGTCCCTTAACTACAGTTAGTATAGTAAGGGGGCCCCACCCTGTAGGCTTTTTGTAATGTATACCCTTCTAAATGATGCCAGCCAATGGCCCCTTAGAACCGTTTTATCGAGTACCGCTGTGCGCAGGGAAGGGCGTCGAGGTTACTTGAGGTAGGGACTTGGCCTCAAGTCGATGTTCAGTCAATGTGGGCTGAGGGTTTTAGGGTTTAGGGTAAACCCTCAACCCTAAACCCTAAACCCTAAACCCTAAACCTATCGGGTTTAGGGCTCAGCTCGGTGCTCAGGAGGCCTTCCGTGGCAAAAACACGTGAAGGTAAGAACTGAGTTCCCTGAAACCTGAGCCCTAAAGCCCCAGACGACCGTTAGCTATTTGGGTTTAGGGTTTAGGGTTTAGGGTTTAAAGGTTTAGGGGAGCCCTGCTCAGCTCTACCCTCACGGTACAACCTGCTCCACCCAAGGACCAGAGCCCTGTGGAATGAACCCGCAACTTTGCAAAGTCTCATTAGGGTTTGGGGATTGGGGTTTTGGCATTGGGGTTTGGGGGGTTGCAGGGGAACCCTAAACCCCAAACCCTAAACCCAAACCCCTAAACCCTAAACCCTAAACCCTAAACCCTAAGCCCTAACCCCTAAACCCTAAACCCTAAACCCTAAACCCTATAAACCCTAAACCCTAAACCCAAACCCCCGAAAACACCCCATATTCAGGGTGCTACGCCGCTGAGCCCTCCCGGTTGTACCGCGCCTGCAGCTTCCCGCAGATGCGTTTTGCGACAGTGCGGAAGCCTTGGCAGTGACCATATTGGAAGTAGGGTTTAGGGTTTAGGGTTTAGGGTTTAGGGTTTAGGGTTTAGGGTTTCGGGTTTAGGCGTACCCCTTCACCCTAAACCCTCATCCCTTTGTTGGGTGGCGGGGTACTTAAAAAGAGAACCCAGAACCCAAGAAAAAAAGGCAAAGGCTGGCACTGGGCCGCCAAGAAGCGGTTGCACTTGGCCTTGCACCACGAGCCTGGTTGGTCGGGCTTGGGACTGAGGGCTGAGGGCTGAGGGCTGAGGGCTGAGGGCTGAGGGTTGAGGGTTTAGGGTTTAGGGTTTAGGGTTTTGGTTGAGGGTTGAGGGTTGAGGGTTTAGGGCTTAGGGTTTAGGGTCTCGGAGGGTGTAGGGCATTTGGGTTTGGGTGTAAGTGGACGGTGTAGAGTTTTGTTTAGGTTTTAAGGGTTATGGCTTTCCTAAAGGGTACTCGTAGGGTCGTAAAGCCGTCGAGTGGTCTTTTGGTTTAGGGTTTAGGGTTCAGGGTTTAGGGCGTGAAGGGTCGAGGGTTGGTATGGCCCCATAGAGACCAAATGTCTAGAAGGCCGGGATTCGACATGTGCTGAAGGTCTAGGGTACCCCTAAACCCTAAACCCTAGCCCCTAAACCCTAAACCCAAAACTCTAAACCCTATCCCGCCTGATCTGACCTGGGTGTAGACCTTTCCACGCAGCCGCTGCAACACAGGCATCATAAATGGAAGCAGTTGGGCTCAAGCTCAGCGTGGTCTCCTCTGCTTCGTGCGGTGATGCTCAGGGTTCAGCATTCTTGGGCCCATGAATTGAATTACAACCCGTAACCTAAGCCCCCAAAACCCTAGACAATCCTAAATCCAATGCCAAAAGCCGTGAACCCGAAAGACCGATTCGCGCGGAAAGATGTAGGGTTCAGGGTCTGAGGCCGAACCTAGGTACAAAAGTTTCTTTACCGGAACCTAAGCCCGAAACAAAAAAATAAGGGCCTACTCCGGGTCCTAAAGGGTCCTGGATTTCGCCCTAAACCTTAAACCCTAAACCCTAGATCAGGCTAAGGGTGCTGGATTTCAGGATTCAAAACAGAAGCCCGACTATCCAAAGCCTCAATGGTGCAAGTTGGGGGAGTATGTGGGTGTTAAAAATGCAAGGGTTTAGGGTTTAGGGTTTAGGGTTAGGGTTTAGGGTTTAGGGTTTAGGGTTTAGGGTTTAGGGTTTGGGGTTTGGGGTTTAGGGTTTAGGGTTTAGGGTTTAGGGTTTGGGGTTTAGGGTTTAGGGTTTAGTGTCCGGGCGGCAGTGCCATCAACCATGCTCAGGTGGTAGGCGACAGAATCGACATCCTGCCATGGCCGGGATGCCCCCGAAAGTGCAAACCCTACAGAAAAGGCTTTAGGGCCAATTTAGGGTGTAGGGTGTAGGGTGTAGGGTTTAGGGTTTAGGGTTTAGAGTTTAGGGTTTAGGGTTTAGGGGCAAGCCCTAAGGAAAATGAGCTCCAAAACTTGGGAGGACAGGTAGTATAAGGGGAACCTCCCAATCTAAACCCCCAAAGCCTTATCAACCCTAAACCCCAAAACGCCCAAATTCTAAACCCAAAGCCCAAACCCCAAGAAACCCTAAACCCTATACCCTAAACCCTACATCCCCTAACCCTAAACCCTGAACCCTAAACCCTACACCCTAAACCTTCAGAGTTCCGTAGCCCCTGGAGCCGACCCGCCCACACCCGACCCCTGGTTGCTCTTCGACCCCCCAAGAAAGTTTAAGGTTTAGGGTTTAGGGTTTAGGCTTTGGGGTTTAGGGTCTAGGGTTTAGGGTTGGGGGTTTAGGGTTTGGCTCCTTGAATATGAGATTAGCGGAACCCGAAAAACTCACAAAGTGATAACGTTGTAGCACAGTCCCCCCTGAACCCTAAACCCCAATCTTACAAAGTGATAAAGTTGTAGTGAAGTCCCACCAAGAACCCCTACAGGGTGGGGCCCCCTTACTATACTAACTGTAGTTAAGGGACTTATAACCTAACTTAGGGTCCTTATAACCCGATTTAGGGCCCTTATAACTCTACTTATAACTAGGGGGCCCCACCCTGTAGCTCCCGGAAAGCCGGGATGAGAAAGCTTTAGGGTTTATGAGGTTTAGGGTTTAGGGGGGGTAAGAGGTTTAGGGTTTAGGGTTTGGGGTTAAGGGTTCAGGGGGTTTAGGGGTTTAGCGGGTTTGGCAAAGAGGAAAACAAGGTTACATTTGTCAAACTTCAAGGGCGTTTGGAACTTGCTAGACCCAAGAGCGACCTAAGAATAAAAGCGGGTGGGTCTAAAGGAGCCTAGAAAAAGGGAATAAGGGCCTACTCTGGGTCCTAGTTATAGGCTAAAAGGTTACCTACTCAACACTCAGAAAGCTTTTGGAGCCTAAACCCCAAACCCTAAACCCTAAACCCCAAACCCTAGACCCTGGACCCTGGACCCTGGACCCTAAACCCTAAAACCCTAAACCCTAAACTTTGAATCCTTTCTTCAGCCTTCTTCGCAGAGTCGCCAGTGCCTGAGGGCGGGGATGATTCAGGGGGTTTAGGGTTTAGGGTTTATTGCTTCGGGAGTTGTAGGTTGCTAGCTTCAGGAAACCAAGCGCAGACGTCATCGCAGCCCATTGTGAAAACACCATGGTTGCGACTCAGCGCCTGTTTGGTGAGTTATGTTTCCTTTATCGAATTGTTTAATCGGTTGGTTTAAGGTTTAGGTCTGAGGGTTTGCTTGTTTGTTGCACATGTGTATCTGTTGAATCTCAGGGTTTGGGGCTTCAAGGTCTAGGGATTGGTGAGGGTTTAGGGTTTAGGGCTTAAGGCTTAGGGCTCAGGGCTTAGGGTTTAGGGTTTAGGGACAGTTTTGCTTTTGCAGGGGGCGTTGACTTAGTTGATTGGACCTCCCTGGTGTGCTAAGCATACTTCATAAAGACGCAGAGCCTGGACTCATAAGAGGCCCTAAAGCCAAAACCCTAAACCCAAACCCTAAACCCTAAACCCCAAAAAAAGTGCGCCCCAAACCCAAGCTCTAGGGGTAGTTACGCGGTCCCTCAGTAGGGGTCCCCATACTTCAGAACCCTTGAACGAGGGTAAAGGACCATATTAAGGGCCCATACAACTACCCTTAGCCTAAACCCTAAGCCCTAAGCCCTAAGCCCTAAGCCCTAAGCCCTAAGCCCTAAGCCCTAAGCCCTAAGCCCTAAGCCCTAAACCCTAAACCCTAAACCCTTAGGCCTAAGACAAGCCCAGCAGTGTGAACCTAACTACTCATTCGGCCCTTTGTTCTCAATCACCCAGGGCGCCTTCTGCGCCACTCACCGGAGCCTCCTTGCCGTCGCCACCCGCAGCAGCCATGGCACACGCCGCCCCGAGGAAAATGCGATTTGCTTTTTTGGGTTTTACCCCCGGGGGGGATTTAGGGTTTAGGGTTTAGGGTTTAAGGGGGGGGGCCACTCTGAGCTGAAAGTGCCATCATTTAGGTTATTAGTCCCTTAACTACTTGTACAGCTAGCATAGTAAAGGTGCCTCTCCTTGCGAATGGTGCCCAAAACTCCAATGTGTCTGTGCTGGTTCGCCCATGCAGGCAGCTGTCACTGCTAGGCTAGGTCTTAAGTGCAGTCACGCGGATAACCAATGAGCCCAGGACCATCAGGAAAGCCAGCAAAACCCCATGCCAAATGCTACCGTATCCCCTGCCATTAAAAGAGTCTGCATTCCCCTGAATTGAACCTAAACGCTAAACCCCAAACCCTAAACCCTAAACCCTAAACCCAAAACCCAAAACCCAAACCCAAAACCCTAAACCCTAAACCCTAAACCCTACCCAAGGCAAAGACAAGGCGCGGGGGGAGACAAAACACCTCCCAGCGTGCGAGCGGCCAGGGATCTGGCCGACGTGGGACGCTGCCCGAGTATGAAGGCTCGGGCCATGCTGAGCGCCACCCATCGACAGGTTTAGGGTTGAGGGTTTAGGGTTTAGGGAAATTGAAATGGGGGGTTTAGGGTCTAGCGTTGAGGGTTGAGGGTTTAGGGTTTGGGGTTTCGGGAATTTGGGGTTTAGGGTTTAGGGAATTTGGGGTTTAAGGTTTAGGGATGTTCCAGATGCCTGGTTGCTGAGGGGATCCGTGTCTTGGTTTGCCCTATCAACCCTATACACCCGAACTCTAAACCCTAAACCCTAAACCCATTGCCATAAACCCATAAACCCAAACAAATTCCGAATAACAACACCTCCTGTCTCGACGGCGGGGACCCATTCCGTTTATGGATCGAAGGACACGAACCCGTGAACTCCAAACCCTACACGCAACACCTTCGGCCGCCTGGAAGAAGCTGGCAAGCCCTGAACTGTACATAATTCTAGCAACCCAGTGCGCAAATCAGGAAGTGCTTGTACATAGCAACCCTAAACCCTAAACCCTAAACCCTAAACCCTAAACCCTAAACCCTAAACCCTAAACCCTAAACCCTAAACCCTAAGCTGCTTCAGAGCTCATGGCTGACTGTATAAGATTCCAAAGGCCACATGGGGGGTTCCCAGAATAGGGGTACCTTTTTGGGGGGTCCGGCTGGGGCATGCTATTCGATGTGGGGGCGTAAAAAGGGTACCCCTATTTCGGGAACTCCCCATGCATCCCTAAACGCGAAACTTTTTTCGTCATGCTAGGCCTCGAAAGACTAGAACGTTGACTGTACAGGAGGTAGGCTGTGAATCCAGCCGTTGCCGGCCCCTCCGCCACGGCAACCCGGCTTAGCTTCTGGCACAGTTGCGACGTGAAAGCCCCAAGCCCCTAAACCCTTAAACCCCAAATCTGAATACCTGAACAGTAAACAGTCAGCCATCAACCAATCTCAACACTGGGCTCAGACATGTGGCCAGGATCGTTAGTTGACGAATGAGGCACAAAGTTGTGCCCGAGATCAAAACCGCCTCTTTAGGGTTTAGGGTTTAGGTTTTAGGGTTGAGGGTTTAACCCTGAACCCTAAACTGCAGTCTGGAGTTTGAAGGCAGGGCGGGCTGGGTGGGAATGGGGAACTTGGCGCAGACCGCAACGCATGTCTCGCATGGCGTGTGCAGGGTGCCTCCTAAAGCAGAAGGAACGCGAAGCGACAACGATCTGGACTCTCAGCATCTAAACTCATCGGGGGCTCTTCGACATCAGAGGGGACTCCTGTTCGATAAGGGCTTGCCAAGGTACCGACATACCCTGCGCCCTAAATGGTTCAGGATGTAGTGCATTATAGGCCTAAGGACTCTAAGCCTTACTAGGATGGGCCTTAAGACCCCCTGAACAATATTCAACAACGTGCCTAGCTATCTTAAAACCCTTTCAGAAACCTATACTCCCTAATTATTCAAGGACTGTTTGTATAAGGGGGAATATCCCAACTCTAAACCCTAAACCCTACACCTTAAAACCCCTTTCAGAAACAGCCCCCGCCATGCATGGGCCTTCACGGCACGGCCTCTCGGAGGCAACCGCAGGACCCAGCTACTCGGGATGCGCCATAAGGAAGCCCCAAAGAAACATGAAACATGAAACCCTAAACCCTAAACCCTAAACCCTAAACCCTAAACCCTAAAACCAAAACCCTAAACCCTAAACCCTAAACCCTAAACCCTAAACCCTAAACCCTAAACCCTAAACCCTAAACCCTAAACCCTAAACCCTAAACCCTAAACCCGAACCCTACACACCCCTAAACCCTTACACACCCCAAACACCCTAAACACCCTAAACGCCCTAAACTCTGAGCCTCTTGGCTCCTTGAGCACACCCTAGGTTAGGCGGCTCCAACGCATGCCCCGCAGGTCTTCTTTTGGGGGCCTTTTGGGGTTCGGGCCTGTGGGTATGGCGCTGTGCAAGAAGGGTTTAGGGTTTAGGGTTTAGGGTTTGTGGTTTGGGGTTTAGGGTTTGGGGTTTAGGGTTTGGGGTTTAGGGTTTGGTGAGTCTTTGGGGCCCAGATTGGGTATAAGTGCTGTTTAAGATGTAGGTTTTGCTCAGAAAGGGCTTCTACGAGGCTTGAAGAAAAATTGAGTCTTTGTGGAGACCGGCCTTAGAGGGATTCGGGCATAAAAAGGGGCTGCATTGAAGCGGCGCAGCCTAAGAAAAGACGGTGTCAAGGCTGACAGATTTCCGGCCCTCAAGAGGAGGCAATTCAGCCATGCATGCACCTCCAGAAGTTGACTAAACCCTAAACCCTAAATCCTAAACCCTAAACCCTAAGACTTAGTGCCTGAGCCCTTGAAATCCAACTCTTGACGCTATCGCCTAGGGGCCTTAACAATTGAAATTTGAAATAAGGTTTTTGGGGGTTACTATACTGACTACACCTACAAAGGGACCATAAGGGAATACTACAAGCAAAATATTCCGATCCCTGAACACATCCTAAAGCTCCTACTATAAGTCCTAATGCTCTGGACTCGACTATACCTATAAAGGGACTATAAAGAAACACTACAAGTAATACCTAAACCCTAAACCCTAAACCCTAAACCCTAAACCCTAAACCCTAAACCCTTTATTACCCTGAACCCTAAACCCTGAACCCCAAACCATCCTAAAGCTCCTCATATAAATCCTAAAACTCTGTACGTCTGGTGCATGCATGGTGCGTGCAAGCTTGAATTCAAGCTCCGCTTCATCCGGTCGTCCACCTTGGTCTGTAACCAGCACCCTAAACCCTAAACCCTAAACCCTAAACCCTAAACCCTAAACCCTAAGCCCTAAACCCTAAACCTATATTAGGCCAAGAAGCCAGTATGTAGGAAGCCCTTTAAAGGGCCGGGCCCGAGAATATACACTGAACATGGAACCTATGACTGCAATGCATGTTTGCACTTCCTCTTCCTGCCTAGACCCAAGAATTACCTTAGGGTTTAGGGTTTAGGGTTTAGGGTTTAGGGTTTAGGGTTTAGGGTTTAGGGGTTAAAGGGGTTAAAGGGGTGCACTGTTTGGTTTAAAGGGGTTTCTAAGGGAACCTAGACCCCCAAGAAAAGGACATAAGGGCCTACTTCGGGCCCTAGCTGCTGAGCCAGCACGCCCTTTGGTTGAGGGTTTCGGGTGCAGCGCCCACCCTCAAAAGCCGATGCCCCGGCTCCAAGCTACCGAAACCCTGAATTTGCCCTTAATCCGCAAAACCTGAACCCTAAGCCCTGCAACCCGAAGACCCTAACCCCGAAAACTCCTAAAGCCGCAAAAGGCCACCATGATAGGCACCCTAAACCCTAAACTCTAAACCCTGAGCCCTGAACCCAAAACCCTAAACCCTAAAAGCCCCAACAAGGCACCACGATAGGCCTCGCACCAGCGCAGGTAGACAGGGATCTCCATCTCACCTAGGGTCAGGCGCTTGCCGTCCACCGCGCCTTGGCAGCTGAAGGGTTTCGAGAGTTTATGGGGTTTAAAGGGTTATGGTTTCGAGGGTTTATGGGGTTTAAAGGGTTATGGTTTCGAGGGTTTATGGGGTTTATGGGGTTTTTGGGGTTTATGGGGTTTATGGGGTTTAGGGTTTGGGGTTTGGGGTTTAGGGTTCAGGGTTTAGGGCTTGGGGTGCGGCGTTTGGAGTTTAGAGCTTACCTGAAGCCTTCTGCGCCAGACGCTGGGCTTGTCTGTGGGCGTAGGGCTTATACAGGGTTTTGGATTTAGGGGGTGGGGATCTTGCTGATATGACATGTATATGCATATGTGCATTGTACATGTGTATGCACGTTAACCTGCTTACCTAGTTGGATTCATGCAGTACGCCGGCGGAGAGTTTGGGTGGCAAAGCCTCCGAGAGACGCTCTATGTACACTTCCGCGGCCAGGATGCTTTGATCCTGCCTCCGGAAAGCCCCCCCCCAACGTTCATGAAGCAGATTCTTCTCCAGGACTTCGTCCGCCCAGTTCCCGAAGACGAACGAGCTGCAGCTGAGGTGCATCAGACCGACTGGCCTCTCGATAATACCAATAGTGCCGAAACACTGAGAGACCACATAGGGGCACGAAGAGTTATCCAAAAAACGCCCTCTCGAAGCTCGAAGGGTTACTTAGGGGCTCAATACCCGAGCCCAAAAGGTTAAGCTTCTGAAGAAGCCCTTTTTCGTCTAAAGGGGGTTTGAAAGGCAACCTATAGACCCTAAAAAGGGAATAGGGGCCTAATCTGGCCTTTTAGGGAGTATATAGGGCCGTATATATACCCTTTAAGGGATTATTAATCATCAAGACAAAGGTTTGCCACATGGATGAAGCTCCTGTACTTGCTCAAGCAGGAAACATCTATGAGTCCTCAGGAGACTAGAGGAAGAGGCCCTGTAAAGTGGCTGGTAGAACTAGTGCTCCAGATGCCCACATAGGGCTAGAACTAAAT